GGTGAAAATATCATCAGGACAGATAAACCTTGTCCTGATGTTTTCATCTAAGTTTACGTGTGATTTAAACTGTCTCCTCCATATTGCTTTCTTCCTTGTCACTATCCTCATCCGTATCTTGTTCACTCTTGCCACCGCCATTCTTGCACTTCATATTGTTGTTGTTATTATTCGTGTTGTTATTGTTATTATTGTTGAGGAGGTAAGGATTAATGTAGTTGAAAACGTTATTCATGGCTGGGTTTAAGTAGCTGGGCCATACAGAAGAGTCGACATTAGTGTTGGCCTTATCTCCCCCCCAGAGGGACATCATCATGCAGTAGTTAAGCATGGCGGGAGACATGGGGACGCCAATGGGTGTGGTCGGACAGGTTGGTGGGGTAACAACTGGGTGCTGGTTGGCTCTGGCTTGTTGTAACCCCCACATGTTGAAAGGTGTAGGTGTGGTAGGGTGTAGAGAGCGTTGTGTGGGTGTGTGTTGCCTCAGAGGCACCTGGACCCCGGGCAGGTGGACGGGCATACCAGCCACTGTAGTGGGCGGAATACCAGCAAAGCGGTGAGCTCTGGAGTGGTTAACGAGGGGGTCCAGGCTTGAGAATGCAGCGTCACATAGGGCACAAGCGTATGAGGCATCAGTGTGCAGCGCCATGTGACAGTCTAAGTTTAGACTATAGGTAAACTGGGTCTGACACACACCACACCGGAACAACTGGCGTCCACTCTCGTCTTCTTGAGGACAAGAAGATTCGTTACTTGTGGGGCCCAGATGAAGCGCCTGTTGATCATACAGAGCATCGCGGCCGTGCAGCTCCAGCAAGTGCAGCTCAAGGTAGATGACACTAATGAAGGAGCCGCCACACAAACCACACTCGCAGTAGTCGTCCACGTCGCGCGAGTGGCCATCCCGGTGCAGCTGCTGGTGAATATCACGGCCGTGAGTGGTGAGGAAAACCTGAGCACAGTGGCTACAAGGCGCGCCATCGCCACGGTGGGCGGCCTGGTGTGCGTTCCACCCAGCACCCGTGACCGCCACTGCCCCACAATCAGTACACACAGCACCAAACTCGATCCCTGCTCCTGCCGGATTTTTGGTGAAAGGAAAATCATCGAATCCAATCCCCCCCGACATTCCGCCTTCTCGCAATTTACGTGGGCTGGAACACCCGTCTCTATCGTCTTTGTCACCATAACTACGAGCTCGTCTGTAAGTTTTACCGCGTGAGTTTTGTTGTCGGTCATCAACCTCCATTGACACGGGAGCCCTAACAGCTGCCGTCTGACTACGAGTTACCATTCTTGAAGGTGGAGGAGGAGTCCTACGGCCCCCACTACCATTCTCCAGCCCTCTCATTAACTTACATTCAATCTTACCTGTGTCAGAGCCTTGTGAGGTGCTGCTAGATATGCTGTTCACCATGCTGTCGGTTATACTAGGATTACTACACAAAGAGTTTTCACTGCTCGAAATGGTAGCTATACTGCCGGGGTTGTGTACACTGCTTGCTGAAGTGTTGGCAGTGACAAGAGTACTCTTTGCAATGGTGTTTGTGGTGATTGCAGGGTTGTTGGTTAGGGTACTTAATGTGTTGTTAACTGAAAACGTTGAGGTGGTCGAGGGCCTGAGGTTAACAATACCCGTGACAGTAGTGGCCGAAGCGGGGGTTGTGGTGAGGGATGGTGAGGAGGAGGTAGCATTCCCATAGGCAGTGATACCCAGCGAAGGTCTGACGGAGTGCAAATTGGAGCTAGGCGCCACCATAGTCCTAAACGGTTGGCTCAATCCTCTTGTTAGCCCGGCGGTGTTTGTTACCTGCTGTTGTGGAGGCACACGGAGGCCATAGTAAGCCAGCTGTCCTCGGGGGCCTAGCATGGCCTTGAGCTGCTGTTGCTGCTGTTCCTGCATACCTTGGGTAGTACGGTATAGACGTTGTCAGTCAATCGTCACCGCATATACAGTGTAGGCGTCAAACGAAGTTCTCTCCTTTATGCCAGCAATATTCCACCGCTCACCTGACAAATATATACATTTCATTTATAATCTGATAACACCACCAAAACAATAATAAGGTTAGTAAGACGATCCATTAAAGAATATTAAATTAACTCCGGTGAAATCACTACACGAGCAGTTATGCGTGAAAAATAAATTCAACATGTGAATCACTTCTTAATTTTTACTGTTCACTGAAACTATTTAAGGTGATTCATGCACTATCTTTTAATATGCTTTAGATGTTGTTTATTTGGTTATCAACGGTAGACTTCAAGCTTATAGTGACAAACTAGGCTTTAGGGTATACATTTGGCTGGATGAAAGCTTGGTTAGGGTAGGTTGGGTTTAGTTTGGTTAGGTTGGGTTTACCTTGGCTAGGCTGGGTTTAATTGGGTTTGGCTAAAACAGGATGGTTTTAGTTTGGTTAGGTTTGATACTGACACCAGCTTGGTTGATAATCATCTCAAGGCAGTAAAAGTACACCTAACGTTACCTGGGAGCTAAATTAGCTTATTTCACCTTAAGATGAACCACCCTAACCTAACAGAATCTAATCTAACTCATCACACTCTAATCTAACTCAACACAATCTAATCTAACCTAACCTTAAAGAAGAAATGGTGTAATAGCCAAAATTTCTTGAAATCTGTGCAAAGAAATTCAAGATTCTTACTTTTTTTGTATAGATATATTGTCTATATACAATTTTAATCAATTTGTACTTGTACAACGACTTTTTACTGAGTATCTATCTATCCACCTATCCACATTTTTAACATGAAATCAACTTAACCTGTTAGCTAGATCAGATTACAATTTATAAGAATTTTTGTTTGTCGACAACTTTTTTTCATAAAGTTTAATGAAAAAAATAATAACTTCTGCGTTCTAGTGATTAAAAACTAATTTCACTGAACTGATCATAAGTATAGATCATATAACTCTGAGATTCATTTTTACTGAATTCAAATATTGTAGATTTTTTTTATCGCCCAATATTTCGAGGCCACGACTTATCTCTTGCTTCTTTTATTAAAACAAACTTTCTATTAAAGATCCAGAAGAAAACAATATTCCCTAAATTGCGTTCCCGAAATTTCACAGTTCTAATCAAGCCAAACCAAATCAAACACTATCTTCACTACAATGTCATTAAACAATAGGCCAACGATAGAAGTAATAAAGGATCACCTGAAGATTGGCCTTCCAGCTTATTTCACCCGATTAAAACACCCTCGCGTTCCCTATGGGGTTAATCTATCGGGAAATGACCTGGGGGGCTAATCTTCAGGTAATCAGCAATACAGTACCCAAACGCCCGATTATAAACTGTCTTAAAGCGTTTGACTTTTCTGATAAAACTCACGTCAACATGTAAACTGTCCTGGTGTTATACTGAGATAACACACGGGTCAATACTCTTGTGAAATGAACAATAATAAACAGTATTCATATAATATAACCCTGAATGTATAACTCGTGCCTTCCATGTTCTCATTTTAAATCGTCCACTTCTAACCTATTCGACGCTAGTTTATGATGCAAACACATCCATTTTGGTTCGTTTCGCTGTATAGCTATTACGTAAATCATATTTCACTTCATTTCAGTGTTTAATTATAGTTCCTTTCACACCATTTCGGAATTTATCACAATCATTTCGGCCCTAAATACGTCTATTGCAATACTCTAAGTCCTCCATGCATGTCCAATAAACACCATTGACCCGTGTACGTATAGCCACTCACAAGAACGTGCCAATTCAATTTTAATAAGTGCTGCCAAATACAAAATTCAAATAAATACGTTTCACTCTAATTCCACGGTACCTCAAGGTGATGTTAGTGTTGTTTGAAGTATTGCCTAGGTGTGTTGTCTGCCCTGGTCACCTGTCCATGGGCACCGCCACCTCGAAGCAACTCCCTGAATGAAACAGATTTGAATCAGCTCTGAATCTTTCGTATTGAAAATAAAGTCCTTGTTATATTACGAAAATCCGGATGATTTATTTCCGTTCGCTCAGTTAGGATAATTTTTTAACGCAGTTCATGATAGAGTAAAATTATTATTATTATTATTATTATTAACAACAACAAAATTCATCTCCCGGACTCGACTCTCAATAAATTATGATGTTTGTTATTCAGTCATTGGAGACGTGATCGGCTAATAAATATTCAGAGAGAGAGAGAGAGAGAGACAATTTAGGTTTACAAAACAGGTATACATGGTTACATAGACAGTGCAGAGATACCACTTTTTGTATGCCCGCAGTCTTGTTTATATATTTATATTAGCTGCACTGTCTAGGCATAGTACACGGTCCATGTACAGCGGAAAAAAAAAATCTTGAACATCTGGGCACGACAGATTTCAGAATGAGCATTATCAATTACTATGATGCTTCATAGACTAACATTTTCGAAAATAATTCCAATTATGGTAAGTTGCATGTAAAAGGAGTACACACACCTCTATATTGAGATACATTTATATTTAACAAGAAAGAAGTTCAATATGATAGAGACGTGTGCGGAAAGGGAACGTGTCAATAAATCCAGTTTAAGGTAAAATGCATTTGGTAGAATAGAGTTAATCTTTAACAGAAAATATAATTGATTTATGTTTCATGTAATTATCCTCGAGTTGTAAAAAATGTTGTGGAATGAATTTATTAGGTTTCCTGTGGTGGCACATTCATTTAGACATTGTTAGAAAAATACCACGGAAATTATCAATAACTGTATTTTACTTGCTGTTGTTATTATCTTAGTTTAATTAGATCGGTTAGGTGAATTTTTACATCATATAATAAGAGGAAAGTTGATTAATCGAACCATTGTTAATCGGAAAGTAATTGGTTGAATTGCAATGTTCGTGGTATATCGCTAAACATGATGAGGCAATGTGTGTCAGAATCAGATGATAGTGTCAACAAATGACGTCACAGCCGCCTCAAACCTTTCACCCAGCGTTAAGGTTGACCTCTACTCTCCTCCCCTGCCAGGTAACACTCCACAATATCCTTCATACTCTCTCTAATCACGTTTGACAATATCTCATCAAATTAGAGTGAATACAATGAGAATGATGTAGTTAAGCGTGAGTGAACAAGACACACTTCACACTGCAGGTAACTTACTTAATAGTTTTAGTTTATATATTTAACCTTCATTTTCAGCGACAAGGAAGTAGAACACTAGTCTATGATACAGGTTTTTTACGAATTTACTGTTTTATTCGACAGATTGGTAAAAATGTAGAGATGTGTGTTACATTATAAGAGTACTCGGAAAATTTGTAGAGGGACTTTAGTGATAAGATATGATTGGTGTAAAATATTGGTGCTGGAAGAGAGAAAATATGTTAATGTCACGACCGGAAGCCACAGTATAATATGAGGTTAAAAAAAAACCTAAAATAACCCTTCAAGGTTAGGAATCATTTTCACAGATAAATTTGAAAAACAAAGCGATAGTTAATGTGATTTTGTTCCTACTTCAAATTTCCTCACTTGAATGTTTGAGTTTGTGGTTCTGTTGTCAGATCTTTGGCTATAGGTATATTTTAGGTTTGCCCCGTTAATAATGAATTGTTTTGTTCGAGGCGATCTGCTGGTGGATGGATGGATGGATATGTAATCAGAAAAATTTTCATATAAGTTTACTTTGACTTGCCATGTATATAGACAAAGCAGGTATATAATGTATATAGGCAGTGTAGGTATACAAATAATGTATGTTGATTACTAGGAAAATTATTCGGAGTCAGTTAAGCAAGAAGTAAACTGGCTACACTGTTTTTGATGAATTGATAAAAACCACAATAAAACTACTGTACTACCTTGTGCTCTGTTGCTGCAGAATGACCCACTGTGCAATATTAACTCATATGTGGCTGAACTCAGTTGATTTGTCTCTTAAAATAACATTAGTGATATATTTGATATTCACAACATAATTTGTAGTGAATAAAATTTTTGTATACCGTAACTTACACAATAAAATGCACAAATCACATTTCAGGTGTTATTTGGCTACAGTACATAGTTTTGTTGGTTAAGAATCAGAAAAGGTCAATCACGGAATTCTATATCAATTTGTATACTGTACTGTACAGGGAGATAGAAAAAAGAATACTTTATAGCCTGTTTGTCGTAAATTGATATTTTTCAACGTTTTCTGACCTTTCGATTTCATGTTTGGTTGTTAGGTTACTTTGTTTTTTCTTTTCTTTTGTTGGGTTAGATTAAGTTTACACATGGGTCTAGGAGGGTTCTGCCCCCCCTGAAAAGGAGATTAGGTCAGGTCTTTGTGTCTTTGGTTAGGTTTGGTTAGAGATGTATTCAGTACTGATATATGAGAGCTGTTAGGTTCTTGATGATCTCTTTGTTTTGCAAAAGTTTATTTCCTCCACTTTTTTCGGGTTGTTCTTGATAAATTTAAGAACTTTTCTTCTATTGAAAAGTTTCTTAACTCGGCTTCTTAACCCGGACACCTGTTCTTAAATATTACACTCTTTAAAGTTTTCTGTAATTCTGTAGTTAGGTTAGGTTTGGTTAGGATTGTCTTCGTCAATTTTTGGAGTTTTTTTACCTCATAATTTCCTTCTACTTCAAAGCTTTTCTCAGTTTTTTAAGGTGAAATAAAAAAAAAGGTAAAATAAACTTGAAAAATATAAGTTTCCGAAGAAAATGTATTGTGTGAAAAAGTATTTCCTTATATTCGGTTTGCATGATAACTTGGTGAGCTTATAGTTATGTCCTCTCATGTTGGTGGTGCGTGACATCACAAAGAAATGTCTTGGCTCATGTTTTCCATCCCTTTTGGGATTTGAATGTATCAATGATATTTGCCCTATTGTGTCTTGTCTGAAGGATTATTACTTGTTAGTCCTAAGGCCCTCAGTCTACTTTGTGAATTGAGATGACATAGTTCTGGAATTATCTTTGCTGCTCTGTGTTGCACCTTTTCTAGGGATGTTAGATGTTTCTGTAGGCAGGGTTTCCATGCCTGTGTAGAGTAATCCAGACTGGGACGTACAGTACTTGAGATTTGTACTACAGTTGAAGGAGCATTTTCCTCTAATTTTATTCAAAGGTGCACTTTATAATTCCTAACTCATTAACTTTTAACATTAAAGTACAGAAGTTAAGGAACATTAATGTGTTTTCAGGATGTCGGGCTCGGATTTTTCTCACCTGGAGCCGGCGGCGCGTATTAAACTGCTGTGCTCCCAGAGTGACTGTGTTATAGTTGATGGTAAAATTCCTCTTCGCAGGTAAGTTATATACTGTACTGTATTCATTTGTCAATTTAAAGGAGTTCCTTATAATTAGTATTGCACAGGCATAGTATTTTGTTACAAAAACACTTCCACATTACAGAGTAAATATAAAATTATGTATTGTAGCAGTTCATTATCAGATAATAAAGTGCAGGCTATTAAAACTTTTACTGTACTTGTGTATCAGTATGTATTAATGTTAGTTTTATAGATAAGAATGAGTTATAACATTAACAGTGTCAAAATTGGTGAGTTAAGTTATACTTGGTCTTGATCCTGAGGTTCCTGGATATTAAAGAATTTACTGTACTATACTGTGCACTTTTCTTAATACTGTGTACAGTACGTACTGTATATTAATCTTACTTATCTAGGCATGAATTCTGTGTATAGATTCCAACTTATTACATTATGTCACTTTGCTGATTACATTACTAATGTTAAAGGACAGGGTTAAATTATGCTATACAGTATTTATACAATACTATACATTATAGTATTGTACATTTCTGGTTATACAGTATTTAGACACGGTATTTATGGTGCCACCTTCATATTACAATACATACTGTACTGTATTTATAACTTGACCTGTATTACATATACTGTAGTCTTGAGTTGTATTCCTGAATTAAATTACAATCTTCAGGAATTAAATACTGTACTGTACAGTACTTTACATTTGCCAGTATAAACAGTATTGTACAGTATTTATATGCAGTATGAAATGTACAATATGTTACTTAAAGTTAGTTTTACCTGATAGTTCAGAGATGCTTTTCTTTATTTATTATTTGTTTTAATGTTACAAAGAACTGTAACAGTCTTAAAGTTGGGCTTGATCATTTAAAGGGTCACTGTTGCAGGTACTTCAGGTCAGGCTTGGAAATGGTTCGGATGGCTGATGTGTATGCTGAGGAGGGAAGCCTTGAAAATGCCTTTATTTTATACATGAAATTTATGACGTAAGTAGAAACTCTGAATGTTTGTCTTACTTCATATAAACAAGACAGTTAACGGTACATTTGTACAATAGATAACATCCTTGTGATTACGAGCACAGTACTATCTTAAATAAATGTATTTTCCTACACTTTACTGAAATAAAGTACAGTATTGTATAATTTTATTACAGCAGATGTAACTTTTTTGCAGGTTATTCTTGGAAAAGATCAGAAGTCATCCAGACTTCTCTAACCATTCATCAATTGATAAAACTATTAATACTAAAAAGCTTAAGGTGAGTTTAGTACTGTACAGTATTTTGAAAAAAATAGTTTGTAAACTGACAACTCATTATTATGAACAGTGAGTTGATACTGTATTACCATAGTGATTGTGAAATAATGTAGAGACTAAGAATTGTGGGTGACAGCTTGGGGCGACCAGTGGCCCCCAACTCCCCTTGGACTAGCCCTTCAAGTAGGGTGGGGAGGCAAGGGCCAAGGCAATCTTTATTAGAGTATGTACAGTATAACTAAATGTTGAATAAATGACAATGATTAATATTATTTCAGTATAGAATTCTGACAAGTGCCTTACTAGGACCTATACAATATAGTCAATCCCTTAATCTTACGTCACAGTACACAACTATTGCTCGCTCGGTCACAGTAGTGTAATGTTAATGCAGTTATTGACATTCTCAGCTAGAAGTAGGAAGTATGTATTCTGTATCTGTAAAACAGCAGGTCAGTACTGTACTTATGTGTTTGGGTGTGACTTGTGGTGTAATGGTCAGCATGCTCGCCTCACAAGCGAGCGGACCCGGGTTCAATCCCCGGGCAGGGTGAAACTACAGACAAGTTTCTTGAAACCATTTACATCTGTCTACCCAGCAGTAATTGGGGACCTGGATGTTAATCGATTTGCAGATCGTATTCCGGGGTAATGGTTAGCCAGTGCAGGTGGCGAGTTGTCTGGTCTTCTCTGACTATTCCTTGACACTGGGTCATGCAGCTCGTTAACTTAGGGTGTGGTTGTTGTGTTGGCGACAGCTTCTACACCTTAAACACCTAGGTGGCCCTAGGGCCGGCCATCCTTGTTACACGAGAGGCAACCATTATATGTTAGGACTGCCAGTTTTCTGTATAAGCAAACAAATCTCAGTCTGAGATCTTAGTTTCAAACATATTTGATGGATATTTATTTGAACTTTTTTTTATCTTGTGAGCCATTTATATAAGTGGAGGAACTACTGGGGGAAAATGCAGAGTTATAAAGAGAGACACAAGTATGTACATTACATCACATACAACTTTTGGGGCAGAGAACAATCGCACAACTCAACACAGAGAGAGGGAGTGTTGATGACTGTACATGAAGAGATAGTTTGTGGTTAATCCTGGTGTTGGCTACCCTGTGCCATACTGGGAAAAGACTTACAAGACTGAAAGAAAAATACTGTATATTTATTTTCTGGAGATGATCATACAGTATTTTTTACAATGTACCAACCCAGATAACTGTCATAGCAGATGCTTATACTGTATACAGTATCCAGTTTTTAATCATTACCTGTCTTACAATATTTTTTTTTTCTTTTTGCAATAGGAAATTCTTCCAAAGGCAGAGAGACTGAAAAACCAACTGAGAGAAAAATATCAACGAGAATACAACGTTATTGTCCAAGAACAGGTAAGACGATTAAATTAATACTACATATCCTGATGTGGAAAATGTTAGAGAATCCCATGTAAACAAAATATAGTGTCTCCAAAAAACCCTCGTCTCTTAAGAGCATTTTTTTTTAATAAACTGATCATTTCTGGAGAAAAAAATATCAGATTTGACACCAGTCGTGCATTGTGTTTAAACCAGCTTGATGTTGGTGCCTCACTGTAATACTTCACTTTAACTGACTAAAACTGCACCCTTGTGTTACTTGTGACAGTAAAAAGTTATTGAATGTTCCTGGAGTTGCTGTATCATCTCCAGCATCATCATGTAATTTTTCAAAGCTCATTTTTATTTACTGTACGGAGTATTTTATTTTTTTATTATTATGGTGGTATTAAAGTAGTTAAATGCTAATTTACTGTATTTTGTTTTTTAAAGGAGATAAGAAAGAAACCTTTACAATGATTTACAGAGTAATGTATTCCCCTATTCATGTACAGTATTTATGTATAAATCAACAAAAACTAACTCTGGCCACATTTTTTAATCTCGGGTAAATTTGGTCAGAAAGTAAAATTTTAAATTTAGTACAGTATCTGGTGCATCCCTACATATGGGGTATACTGTAGTAATGAGCTGACTCCTGTAATACTATATTATGGTACAGTATTACAACAGGAGGACACATCACATACCTGAGTACAGTACAGGTTGTTCATTAAGGTATCTTCTTATAGAGATCACTCCATAATATATAAAATGACACGTCCTTAAAAAAAAAACATGTGTCAAGTTGCTTATTAAATGATATATGGAAGAAAACCCTGGGTAGCAAGAATCATCACCACCACATTTCATGATCATTTTCTATGTTTGTGTAACTTGAACTTGTAAGACCTTTAGAAAACAGGCTATTTCATCTGGGACATTGTTATCCTATCTGTGTCCCAAATAGAACAATGAACCCATGACCTAGATCTGCAGGTAGATACAAATAACACTTGCATGAATACTGTTTGGGCTGAAATGCATGACTCCTCATTAATATTGTTACAGAAACTTTTGGAAGAACAGTTTAGACGTAAACAAGAGGAAGCTCAGGAGGAAGAAACGAGGAAAAGACAGCAAAGTGAGGAGGACTACAAGAGGAGGAAAGACATAAAGGACGAGAAGAAGAGAATACGAGACCTACAGTCCATCCATCACAAACACTCCGAGTTACCCCTGGATGATGCTCCCCCAGCGTGAGTTATAGTCACAGTCCGAGTTACCCCTGGATGATGCTCCCCCAGCGTGAGTTATAGTCACAGTCTGAGTTACCCCTTGGATGATGCTCCCCCAGCGTGAGTTATAGTCACAGTCCAAGTTACCCCTGGATGATGCTACCCCAGCGTGAGTTATAGTCACAGTCTGAGTTACCCCTGGATGATGCTCCCCCAGCGTGAGTTATAGTCACAGTCTGAGTTACCCCTGGATGATGCTCCCCCAGCGTGAGTTATAGTCACAGTCTGAGTTACCCCTTGGATGATGCTCCCCCAGCGTAAGTTATAGTCATAGTCTGAGTTACCCCCTGGATGATGCACTCTAGCATAATTTAGTTTATTATCAAAGTACATTAATCCATTATAACTACTTTATAATCAAAGTATGTTTATCCTGTGTCAGATAGTTTTTACAGTACAATACCTGTAAATTGAGTCTGTTCAAGTTAGTTCTCAAAGTACTGTACATTTATAAATTGTGAATACTTACGTTATAATTGAAATACATTACCCAGTGTCAATTTATTATGATCAAAGTACATTTAACTCTTAAAATTAAAAGTACTTTTTTTGTATAATAACAATAATAAAGTTATAGGTAGATTGGGAAATATGTGAAGGGAAGGAACGTTATCAATGGAAGCAAAAGTGGAGTGTACTTGGGTGTTGAGCCAAAGATATTGTATGGGTGTGAAACAGACTGTGAATGGGAAAGGAAGGAACAAATTTCAAAATGTTGTCTCTGAGAGCAATGAGTGGTAAGTAATAAGTACCTGTATAAGAGCAGGATATACAGAAAGGAGATGGTGAATTGAATGGAGTGTTAGGCAAAGAACAGATCAGGATCTACTTAGGTTGTAGGAGTATATTGAGATAATGGGAAGTGGGAGATTAGTAAAAGTGTGCTATTCTGAGGTGGATAGTAAGAGACAGGTGGAAGGAGGGGTGGATGGAAGGAGGGGTGGAGTTACACTAGAAATGAGGGTCATGGATATTCAGGAAGCAACAGTGGGGTTGGATTTGTGTAGGGCACAGCATGAAGTGGTTTTTAGGGAAGGATGCTGGCTTGTGTGAAGCAATGAGTAAGCCAGACTTGGAGTGATGTGGACAGGAAGTACCCCAGTAGGAAGACTGAATATGTGTGTGTGTACACTTACTGTTGTTTCCAACCACCCTGTACAGTATAAAGTGGGAAAAGGCATGAAGATTATAAATCAAATTATATTTATAAACAGTAAGTGCTGATAATTCTCATTTCTCTAGAAAGTTGGCAGGCAGCAGTGTTCCTACACATATGGTCAGGACACTGCAGGTGGCTTAGTATGTACAGTGTCAAAATTGTTATATTAAAATGTTTATAATTTGCTCATAAACATTATATTGATGCTATCAACCAATTTGCTTTAAATTTTGGAACATATAAAGCCTTTGAGTATTGATAGGTCTTTTTTAATAATACCAAATTTTCTCTTAGAACTTTTTACAAACTTGTGTCAAGCATCATCCCTTATGAATGCCATAAGACATGTGATAATATTTGTTTTCTTCACTAATTTAAATATTAGCTTCAGTTGTAAACATACTGGCAACTAAATAAGATGTATGTCCTTTACAGGTATGATGATTTAGGTAGCCTAAGCTATCCTACCTCAGCTTTAACTCTGAATGACCTTAGTAATGATGACAGACCAAGTGGGCCACCAGAGGTCATCGGCTCATCTTGTGTATCACCAATGTACCCACCCAACAGTGCTCACTCCTTACCCAACATCCCATCAAGAGATCTGAAGCCAATGCTTCATAGGTATGTACAGTAGGGTATAATGAGAACTATTAATTCTGTAAGCAGGGGCACTGCTCATGAATGACTTTAGGGTCCTGGGGCTGCTGAGGCTCTTATCTCAACACTCTTTGTGCCATGCTGAAAACTTCCCTAACTATAACTTGTATTTGTTGTATAATTTTCTTATAAACAGTAATCTTATAATTAAGTGGGTACTAGTGGTAAGTTTATTTTTATTGTGGAATTTTAGGTTTTGAATTCTTAATTGTTTTGCACTGTATTTGGTGATTGTTTTATTTCTTGATATTTCAGCACTCCTCAGGTGGACCGCAGCAGTAAACCCACGTCACTATTAAGTGCCAACGTGGGGACAAAGAGTGGAGGTCTACGTGAAGTGAGGGTTCCTAGTGAACTAATGGCCAAGTTCATGGCTCTGGCTCAGCCAAATACTCAACGTAATGTTGAAACTTGTGGGATTCTTGCTGGCAAACTGGTGAGTTAAGTTTACAGTTTCTATATAGTATAAGCAGTAATTTTTGTTATTCCTAAATCATAGATTTTGCCTTATATTTCTGAATCTTTTTGCTGGTGAGAGACCACTTCAAATATCCTTGTAAAATGTTTCAGGCTCAACACAGATTGTTGGTGACTCACTTGTTGGTGCCTAAGCAGTGTGGCACCTCAGACTCTTGCACCACCCAACAGGAAGAGGAACTGTTTGATTATCAAGATAAATTAGACCTTATTACCATTGGCTGGATACATGTAAGTAGTTTTCCCCTGTGGTCAATACCACAGGAGAGATGTGTAGTAAACCTACATTTTTATGCTAGCTGTGTCCCCAGAGAGCATTCGTAACCATGCATGTGTAAACACATGTACTGGTAAACCTCGATAAACGATATCTTGTTCAGCAATATTCTACTTTAACAATGGTCATGAATTAAGACTATCTTGCTATATATGATAAAAAAATTCGCTTTAATGATGTCCATCGTTATCCATTGATATCCACTGGTTGTAAATTTTATTTTAATCTCTAGTGCAAATTATGGGTTGTATATGCTCAAATTAAACACCGTCTTGCAAGGATTCCAAGCAATGCAAATTATATTTTTCTATGTCAAGTCACTGACATTTTATAAGGAAACAATATTTAACCCTATGAACCACCATAGGTAACGCATCTTTGGTTGCACTTGTCAGCCGAGGTAATAACTACCCGTGCATTGCCACACGGCCAACCCGTGCACTACAGTCCTGCGCTTGGTTCTTTATCAATCGCATCTCCCCGCCATTGAGCATCGTTGGCTGTATGTACGGTGTTCTTATAATCGGTGTTTTTTTTTTCTTTCTTATAGTTAGAGGACACCACTAACATATAGACTGAACTTTGTTATGGTGACTGTGAAAAGTGATATATTTTTTATATTTTTTTGTGGCTGTAAAATGTTTCACCTCTGCTGTTGTGAAAATTATGTGAACAGTGTCGGCCGCTGTCATCATTAGCTGTGTTTTGTGACAAATGCTTTTGCTCTGTTTTTGTGACTGAAGACAGCAGTGGTTCAAAATGTCTGGGACGGCCAAGGCATCCAAGACAACTATGTCTCTGAGGTGAAGCTTGACATTGTGAAGCGGCATGAGACTCCCTAGAGGCTGTGTGGGAGTCAGAGTGACGTATCCACTCCACCTACAAGAGTCCCCTTAGCCTTGAAGGGGACATGTGATGATCACCAGACTTGTCAAATATGATATGAGTGTTGTTTACTTGTTTGGTACTGATAGTAGTAGTGTAGGAAATTTTTGGTCGGTGATACATTTGTGTTTGGGGACTGGCTGGGAATGTATCCCATTGAACCCCTTATTATAATGCTCCCTATCTATGTTATTTCACTTAGCAATGGGTTTTTCAGGAACTTAACCCCACCATTTATCGAGGTTTACATGTACTACTGTAATGGGAAAATAGGATCTAGAAACCATTGGGACCATCCATTATTGAAATTTTTGGCCTTTAAAAACAATAATATACAGTAGGTGTTATTGAAGCTGGTAAGGATGTGATTTCACAAATAGAACTAGTTCAAATATTATTCCTAATTATGGTAGTTTTAATATTTAAGTCATCCTTTTTTTCCAGACTCACCCAACACAGACGGCTTTCTTGTCAAGTGTCGACCTTCACACACATTGTTCATACCAGTTGATGATGCCCGAGGCCGTGGCTATTGTTTGTGCCCCAAAGTATGAAGAGACGGGCTTCTTCACTCTCACCCAGGACCATGGATTACCTTTTATTGCCAACTGTCACCAGAGTGGTTTTCATCCGCACCCAAAAGAGCCGCCGTTGTTCCTGGTAAGTAGTACAGTAGATACATTTTTGTGTATGCGGGGTTATGCATAAAAATGTTAGATATATATACAGTATACTATACACGAATGGGTTGGGTTGCTTCCTCCCTTAAAAAAAATTTGTTAAGTGAATTTTCGTGTCTTGAATAACAGAACAAATGGAAAAAATAGAGTTTGGTTTCCTAATAAGAAAAATACCCCAATATCATAACCCCAAAAACATGAAATCGGTTTACAAACAAGAGAAAAACGTACCTAACTAATGATAAATATTACACAACTACTGTAATTTACTACCTAACACATTAGAAACATTAATAAAATAATGTGCAGCTAAAAATATTAAAGAAAAGCTAAATCAAAGTTTAACACAGCCGCCATTTGCATAGATGCTGCCTGCTTCACATGTGGCTGCCCTATATCTTTTACAGGGTGACCAGTTGTAGTCACACACACACACACACACACACACACACACACACAATGTTCCCTTGCTTTATGCAGTTGATACATTCCAATAAATTACAGCAAGGATCCATTCCAGAAAAAAAAAGAACAAACAACTCTCCCTCTCTGACAGTCCTCCTCTATTTCGTACAACCCAAAAAACTACGGTAAATTTTTTATGAATTCTATAACTCATTCAGAATACCCATACAACACTATAGGCTACTGTGCTTACTATATATAAGATGAGAAGACTTATAAATGTAGGTTCATTAACTCTATACGTGGGGGCCATTTCCATGATTTGTGTACCACCTCGAAGCTTTTCTAACATGCTTACTTTGTCACTCAATGTCAAGTGTTAAGGACTGATTGTGCCTTCACCTTAAGAAGCTCTGTTCAAGGGATGGTATTTACCCTCCTCTGTGCTCAGTAATGATGTTTGTGTTGAAAGCACTGAAGTAAGAGTTTTTTAATATACAGTACATATACAGTAGTACTCCGATTTACACGGTCAATTGAACCCCGCAGTCAATTGAACCCACGGGGTACCTCGGAAAGTAAAAACCTCGTAAAGTGAACAACAGAACATATGGGATTAATTCCAATAGAGACTGGCCCGACCCCCAAACTCCACTTTTTCCGACGCAATACCTATGTTGTAGTAAAAATAACATCTTAATTTTATGATGGTATGCACACAATTAATATTTAAGAGAATTACAGTCGCCAGGTTAATGTCCAATCAAATAATGGACTCAACTCCCTCCCCCCCCTTCCCAGCTCACTGGCTCCTACCTCTCTGAGAAATGTTTAGGTGAAAACACTAGATTTTAACGTATAGTAATAAATTATACCTCAGACTAAAGTTAGGATAATTTTATTTTGTATACTGTATATCAATTTTAATGAGTTTTATTATATTTGACACATTTGAAGGATTATTTTTTTTATAAGCCATATGTTCAGCATAGGGAACTGTTATAATGACAGGGGAATACAAGAGTTATATGAAAAGATAAAGGGACATCACACCCTGATATAAATTAACCGAGTTATTTTAATTAATTTTTTCCCAGGATGCTTCCCACGTGACGCTGGAAAATAGTTTGCCCATAGGCGTCATTGACCTTCGGGATTCCAAGTGAGCTTTATACTTTTTGTAAGAATTATTCTGTAGTTTTCACATTAATGGAAATTGCATCCAGTGTATTGTTATTATTATTATTATTTTTTTTAAATATCATCTACCTTGAACCAAACTCAGTTAATTCAGAGTGGATCAAAAAAACAAAATCTATATTTCTGGTAGACTTAGGAAGATACTGTACAATACTGTAAATTCTAGGAAAACATATAATAAATGATTGACTAGCTTAGAATAGTTAACAAATGTTATCACTACTGTGCTTTTAATAGCAATTCTCTTTAAGTTGTTAGTGATGTGATATCTTTATTTTGTATTCTTGTTTTATTAAAAGTGCTGTAAGTGGCACTTCCTCCAGTTTATTGATACACTACAACATGTATAGCTACATGTTTTAACTTTCTGTACTGTTGACAGTTATCTGTGCTTTTTACAACGAGCTGATTGTAATTTTAATATACTACAGTATAGCGGCCAGAAGTGAATCGTGGGAGGGATAATTAAATACGGCACATCAAGTGATTTTCTCACAATTTGTTGGGTCTGAACCATCACCAAACCTCCTTGTGTACCCAAGTCATATCCATAATTTTAATTAATGACAACCTGAATTTTTTGACAGTACTTTATGATGGTTTGCATCAGCTAAGAGTGTTTCTCTATGTGGATAAGAATACTCCTTTTTTTTTTAACTTAATGCAGGGTGGGTGGAAATAAACACACACACACACACACACACACACACAGATATTCTCCTTCCACTTCACACAAGCTATCATCATCACCCATCACCAGAGTGACTTTCACTAATCATCATGCTTCCAACTCGTGTATGTACAGGTACACTATTTCTTCAATTTTAATTACAAGGTTGTCACTGACAAAAAATCTTTTGATTGGGGGTTCTATTGTGGCTTCAGATACAACCTATTCTGAATCATGAAGAAACACTGGTCTGAAATATAGGATTTTAACTTGTTTACCTGTTGGAGAGCAAATATCAACTACTGTACAATGGAAACCAGATAGATCTTGAGCTTAGGTTCCTGTACTTCTCATTATTTAACTGATTGTGCTCAAGCTTCTAAACAATTAAATTTGAACATTTATTTTGGTTTGGCAGTACTGTAGTCCATTTCCATTTTGTTTTTTTAAGTTGTTATTCGGTCTAGGATGTAATACAGTTTAAGTACAGTAATATAATCAAACATCACAATATTTATTTTTATACAACTCTAGAATCTTTGATAATTGAAAACAAAACCGTACAGTGTAGAGAAGTAATCTTTAGTGATGACGGTGTGATGAATTGCTGGGATTGCATGTATGATAAACGTCGGAAAATAGTTACTTGAAATAATGTCATCGTGTTTACATTATTCAGGCCAGGTGTAAGCAGTGCATGTATAAAAGTGTGGGTGTGTTCGAGAGATAAGCAATAGTGATATTTAACAATATTATTTAGCTACTAACTGCCACAAATATGCTTAAATACCGATGCTTGTAGAAAGTAATCCTGATTTTTTTCCCTCCAAGTCATTTAAAACTGATGGCAGAGTGGCATTCATACTCTTAACTTGGCATTTGGAGTGCTTCACTTTCATATCCAATACATCTATAGCTCAGCCATGACTAAAGGAAAGACTGATTTTGATGAACACAATGTAGAAAGTCACACTCCAGCTGGTTTCCATTGTACAGTACTTACCTCTCATTTGAACCCTCAGAAAAGCTTTGAAAAATAACAAATAATATCTAAAGAACACTGCAATACTTTCACTATACAGTAGATAATTTTAAGATATGCCTTATCAACAGTAAAGTTTTGAACATTTTACAACTTCAATTCTGGGTGGTATTGAAGAGATAGAATATAATTATCTTTTTTATAATTAGAAAGTTAAGAGTTTATATTAACCCCTTCTCATTTGGGATAAACAGTACAGGATTTAGTGCTAAAACTAAGTACAGGTACTTTATTTTGCTGCCTTGGAAGCCTGATGACCCACATACATTATCATCTTTACAATAGTCTCAGTTTGGTGATTAAAACTGCAGACAGTGTAGGTAATAGTGCTGCTAAATGAGAGTGGATAAGCACTATGTTAATCCCCTCCTACTTGTGTAATATCAAAAGGCTTATAAGACAGCAGGTGAGTAGGGATGCACCATACTGTAAACATCTCGTGTCACATTGATTACTTAATTGAATAGTACAGTATTGTTTAAGTTATAAAGTAAGAGTCACAGGCAAGACACAGCTACTTCAGGAGTTGTGTTGCTCATGATGACTGTCAATTGAGTAAATCTTATAGGTGTGTTAAGGATCGTTGACCAAGTGTTCCTACATTTGTAAAGGAAAACACAAGAACAGCGGAACTGAGACAGATTCGTAAGTGCTCATTTTTTCTTGTTTGAGGATACGAGATGTTTATATAATTATAATATAGACTAGAGAAAAGAAGTGTTAATGTATCGTAACTGAAATTGTTATGTTACTCCTATGTGATATTTTCTTGCCAGGCAGCACATAGCTGGTGCCATTTAGTTACACACCATTAAGAGTGTCACTTGTGGTACAGTCATGCTGTAACTTAACCTTTCCCTGCAAATGTTTAATCACCGTAAATCCCATTTTACAACATATCTGATAATTTTTTTAGTACTGTATATATATATATAGTTTATGATGCTAGTGAAGTACTTCTGATGTAAAAAAATTATTGCTTTTATATTTCATATTCAAAGAAATTAATATTTTCAATTTGCATTACATGTTGCACTTGTATAATCTTTCCTTAATGCTAAAAGGTTAATAATACATTGTTTTCTTCTTCTTTTCATTTTTAATTTAATATATGAAAGGATAGAGAAAAAAAGAAATTAAATGTTAATTACATTTGAGTCTTGTGAATAGAAACATTCTATACCTCTTCCTGATGAGCTTTAATAGTACATTATCACTATTACTTTAATGAAAAAAAAACTGTGAACCTTGGAAGAATTTTGTATGATTAATCCTGGTGGACGTCATCATCATCAACTTTCTATGGCCATTTTCCACGCTCGTGTGGGTTAGTCGTGGCTATCTGATGGCAGCTGTTAGGTAAAACCAAAGCAAATTCCTTCTGCTCGCCACCACAAACCCAGGGTGCCAACCCATAAGATGCAGCAGAGACCATGGGGTGGGCACAGCTCTGGTGACCTGGTTGTCATCAGGTGTGTTGGAGCAAAGTTTTATGGCTGGCTGTCCTTCCTTGATTGAAAACTTAACAGTTAAGGTGTTTATGTAAGCAAAAATAAATATGGAATTTAATTACTCTAGTCATCTAATGAACCGATGTAATCTTGGTAGATCAGCATATATGAATTCTTCTCTTCCTGCGTCATCTTGGCAATAAGGGCGTTGTCCACCTCCGTGATGGCCACCTTTTCCCCTGCTACACTCACTTGTGGAACTGTGGCATCGTCATCGTCAGAGTCCATCACTTCAATATCGTCTCCACCTTATAACATCAATTTCAATCAATGAAACTTACCAAATTTATTTATTTTTTATACAGTATTGTTTGCTTTGCATAAAATTAATCATTTTTTATGCTAAACTATGTTATACATCTCAACTTATGGCGATTGAAAAGAAAGACTTAGAAAATATGATCAATACATCATGTAAGATGATATCCAGTACAGTAATTTAATATTAGCAAGGACAGTAGTGCTTGGGCCCATAAAAGGAGGTAAATTTTTTAGTCTCCTAGCATTTTAATAAAAGTAACTACAGCAAAGATAATCAATTCCATGAATGCTGTGAGTGGAGGAGGTAGAAAGTTAGAATAAGAGAATCACTAAAGAGAAAGATGATGATTTTGAGGATGTGTAGTTTGTCTGAAGTATTAAAAGACAATCTACATTTATCACTCCATCTTGTGCCAAGAAACAGCAGCATACAGTACACAACATAACAAAACAAAGCCCCGATAGCACTTACCTCGAGACTCTGGGCCAAACGCAGTATCTGATGCGGTAGTTTTTGGTCTCTTTGCTATGCTTTCTTCAGCACTGTCATCAGAGTCACTGTCAGAATTGCGTCGACCGCCTTTTTTGGACTTGCGTTCGTGTGCCTGTAACAACATCATCACATCGTCCGCTCCAGAACCAACTTGATGCTGGTTGTTACTGATTGAAGGCTTTGCTTTTTTAGTCTCAGCCTAAGTGGAGAAAAAAATGCACATAAGAAAAGAGAAACTTATAAAAACATGAAGACTACATAACTATAAAAAAATATAAAGAAATTATCAAATTCACATTGGTTCAAACAAAACTAATTAAGTTACCTTAGGTTTAGCTGGTTCTGATGATGTGATGTTTGTGGTGATGAGGGAGGTAGCATCAGACAACCAAATGGGCTTCTCCTTGGTCAGGACAGTTTCCTCTCCAGTACCGTCAGCATTAATGTTGACATCAATAGATCCTTCAACCTGTAATAATAAATTTCTTTAGCTCCTTGGGTATGAGGGGTGTCTCTGTGCTGAAAAAAATAGTAAAAGTAACGTAAAATAGCTAAGGGGGTTGAGATTAATCCTCCATTGTTTTTCTGTCAGTCTATTATCTTTGCTCCTCTGGTATTCTTGACTGAGGTGGGTCAAGGGTACAGATACCTCAAAGACTGGGTAGAAATAATAGGAAAGTACTTGGTGTAAGACAAGTATAGACGGTTAAGGAAAGTGTTAAAAAACAATTAGCAATACCCACATGTGCTGGCTCATATCCTTAAAGTTGCACATTTCCACTGTTTTCATGAATTGGCATAAATTTTTGTTGAATCTTGAAGATGTAAGATGATCCTGTGATTACTGATGCGTGTGACTTACTGCTTGTCATTTGGTACATAATTACTATTTACCTGAAAACATGGTCTTTGGCGGTACTAACACTAGGTATAACTTTTGCCTTCTTTAGTCTCACCTGATCTTAGGTTTGACACGAATAACTGGAATGAGATGAATGGCTCACCTGAAACCCAGACTTCTTGGTGGCATCTCCAGACCACGCCCGACCCGATTCTCCATGTGCTGGGGCTTTTAATGATCGTGCTTGTCTAGTAAGAAAAATAAACTATCTTTAGTAAATACTCACAATATTACAAATCACTTACTTTATGATATTGAAAAATAAAACCAGTCATATTTAGGTTTAGATGTGTGGAAGATTTAATTCACTTTGTTTCTCTTAACACAAGTTGGGGATGAATGAATGAATTGAGTTAAGTGTGTTTTATCCCTGCATACTATACTCTTGTGAGCCCTCATACACCTTGACCATTTTAAAAAATACTTGGGATAGAAACTAATTTAATTTAAAATAGCCACAATGAGCACAGTAGACCCCTTAGCCAGTTAGACCAAAATTCTAACCTTGATCTTTGACCCAGTAACCCCCAAGAAAGCATAGGTGTATATTTCTCAGTGGTAATGATGATGATAATATGAAATACCTTACTGATCCATACAAAATTGTCAAACTGAGTAGAGTGAAAAAATTTGGATTACCCGGTATACTTTCTCTTCCATAAGGATGCACACACACACACTCACCCAGTTTTCTTGAGGTCGCTGAAGTCCTTTGGTTGTGGTTCTGAGAATTTGGCAGCCAGTTTTATGTTTTCAACCTGGAAGTACAGTATATAAAATGTTGAGACAATATCCATAGAACTAAACATTATCTGTGGCTATTCATGAAAAAATAAAAACATCTCTATATCACTATGTCAACAGGGAGGACGACAAAAAATTAATAACATCCTCAGTAGCCATAACGTCACTGAAGCCTTAGTACAGTATGTCTGTAATACGTTGTCAAGTGATACGACAAAAAAAATATACAAAATGCTTAATCCTTTGACCACAATGACTTAACCTCTTGAGTATAATGACTTAACCCTTGAATACACTGACTTGATAACTTGAATATGTTTTATAACCTTTAATTACAATGTCATCATATTCAAGGGGTTAAGCTCATACAGTACAATGTAGTTTTAACAGCTGAAGTATGTTATGTCTGACAAACTATACACTACATTTGTATTATATTCGAAAGGATTTAAAAACTCATCACTTTAAACAACTAGACTAAGTTTCAAGCTGATATTCCAAACTATTTGTCAGAAATTGTGAGTATTGGATCTGATTCACGATGAAATCACTAACATATGAACACAATAAACAAGACTGTACCACCAGCTTCGTGGACCTTGAATGCATGAGCAAGATCACATGAAGATTAGCCCCCTCCAGCTTATTCCACCTGATGTTTAAACACCCTAAAGCTACCTGGGGGAGTTAGGTTAGGTTGACATTATGGTGTTTAATCATTTCGTGAAATACGCCGGGAAGCTTACCGTAATAAAATGCTGACAATACTGTTTATGGGTAAAATCATGTGGGAGGGAGAAGAGAAATGCATTTTATAGTCCTGACCACAACCATGAACATGGTGTACAACTTACCTCACGCAGGAGGTTGAAGAGAGGTTCCATCTGCTCGTTGAAATTTGTAAGAACTATCCGGGTGTCGTGTCGTGGCATTCCCGACATGTCTTCCTGAACCTCTTGTTTACAAATGATACATAATAGTTGTCCCGTTGTTATGTCTAACAGCTGGTCAGCCTAGTTCGCCAATATATTCATGTTCATAAAACAAAATGCACAAGTAATTTAAATAGTTGTTTTTCATAATTCTTACTGAGAAAAGAAACACCTTCTGACTCCACTAAAAGGAAACTGACAATAATATTCAAGGCTCTGGGGAGAAGGAGAAAGTATAATCTAACAACTTTGTAATAAGTATAATGGTATAATAAACACATCTCTAGTTATTTTGTCACCTGTTTGTTCTGGCTCACAGCATCTGATACATCCCAGTAGTACAGAGGTGGACCCAAAATAATGGACACATTCACAAGACTGTAGAGACCCACCTATGTTCTCACTCACCTTGTATACCTCATCTTCACTACTAGTCTTTACCCAAACTAATGCTCATGTTTTGCACTTAATTTTCTCCTGGTTAATATCAATACCTTACATTTCATTACAACTGCAGTATTCAGTAGTAAATATATGTGGCCTGTACTGACCTTCACACTACACCATTCCAACATTTTCCTCTACACTGTGATTCAAAACTACCACCTCACATCACACAATATTTGTTTACAAGTTTAATTACTGTACAGCATAAGTGTGATCTACGTTGTATTCAGGGACGGTTACACCACAAAACACCTAAATCATAACCTGAGAACCATCACAACACAATTAGAGAGAACTGAGTATCAAAGACTGGATGAGAGGATCTGCGTTGCTATTGATTCTGGCCGTCCTGTGATGTAGCATGTAAAGGTGTGCACGACTGAGAAATAATACTACAGTAAAGAGAGATACAGTATGTGTACTGTATTCAAAAACTAATATGAGAATGTGAATTTGAATTTAGATGAGTCAAGGATGTACTGTACAATATTGTCACAGGATATGACTAATCTAATTTTATTAAAGTTTACATATAAGAATATTTTCAATAAAAGAACCATGAAAGTTAAGTACCTCAAGGTCCGTGTATGACCTCTGGCAGTAGTGGCATATAAATGATGCTCGGCTCGTCTGGTCGCGCTCTTTCATCTCCAGCTTTTTCCGAATATGGTCCAACTTATATTTGACAACATTTACAAAGCTCTGAAAAGTACACAATGAAATTTTACGTTAATAAAACTTTTTTATAGTGTAGTGTAATAACCTAATGACGCGGTAAAAATATTATTCTTGGTAGGTGGGGAAAATCACAAAACACACACAGACACTACTGTACAGTGTATGTAAAGAACAGTCTGCTTTTCTTATGCCTCCAGCAGACCACTATATTACAATAATGCTTCCCAACAGCTACTACAACTCAGCCAACAACAATAATTGATGACTTTAACTTTCTGATAAACTAGGGTTATGTTCCAAGACCACAAATCTATAACACTGGTCGCATTTAAAATTTATAGGGAAATATGGGACATGTTTCACAACCGACATAATACAACTAACACCACACACATCCCAGCCACTGACATGTTACACCTACCATGATGTTCTGGAGGTGGTGGTGGTGGTCCTGTAACAAGAGCTACCTGACAATGGGTTTCAATGGAGGTTTATTATAGTTCTGGTTCCATAGAGAATAGAAGTACATAAATGCTCACCTAATAGATGAAATAATACTCTATTACCACTTGAAGCCTAACTCATAACCCATCCTCTTACGTCAAGCAACAGTCTAATGTTCCAATGACCAGTAGACACACCTCTAGACCTGTATTAAATTTGCCATCAGCAAATTTCATGCTCAATGCCAAGTTATACAATGGTGAAAACATTGATCATCAAGGGAGTAATTTCACAGTATTCACATTACCACAAACACCATATTAAGTAATGGTAATTATGTAAATACTGTACCTGTACTGTATCTCCATGAGTGTTGAATATGGGAAAGGGATAAATTAAGACAACTTTCTCCTGACCACACACAGAGTTTATATGTTGTACCTTAACAAATGTAACTATACTTTACCTTGTAGTCTATGAAGTAGTATTGTTCCTTCTGTGTCTTGTTGTCCTCTAATGTCACCATTTTCATCCTCGCCTGGATGAATTTATCCGCCCGAAGTGTGTTGATTCGCTGCCTCAACATCTTCCGGTCAAACTTGAGTAAGTCACACAGGTCTTCTTCACTCATACCTTAAGAGTGTCATTTTAGAGGTTTAGTGTTGGCACAATATTGTGTCTGAAACTTGTGTGTGCATGTGAAGAAAACATTAATAAAGCAGTATATTTCTGGGCTAAAAAATCAGTCTGGAATTTTTGATCCCCTAAATTAACCCTTAAATATAAACTACTGCAAATGTACAAGAATTCTACACAAGTTTATTGACTTTGGGACCATAAACACACTAAAAATGTATTCTTTACACACAATAGGTAGTAGGTGGTAGGCAGCTACCAAACAGGGAGGTACTACCGCCTGGGAAGATATTGAAAGCATGTGTTGCCTAATGGTAGACCCTGCTGCCGTATGGCACCACAAAAATTGTGACCAAGTCCCAGGTTGCTGATCTGACTTTCTGCCTCATTTACACACAATTGCAGGGTCTCAATTGTTTCTCTTACTTTGACAACATACCAAAGTCTGTTGAACCAAGACCCATGGAAGGAGGTTAAAAATATGTAATACAATATAAATCAATACTACAGTAATAATTCACTACAACTTACAAAAATTTCTGACAAGCATATCAATAATGAGGACGTCTTCGGTGGTGTAGAACCCACGAACCACCAGACGTACAAGCATCTGTAGATTCTGGGGTACTTCCATCATCACTTCCCCATCCATCTTGGCTAATCTGTAGATCAATCAAACAATCCATCAGGTTAACTATCCTCAGGTGTGAAAGCTGACACCATCACCCCACTACTCCACACATTTTTGGGATGTCATTACCAATCTTCCCAAATTTTACATTTCTTAATGGAACACAAACTTTTAATTTTATTCATCCCAGTTTGTGTCTTCCACTGACCTTTCTTCCTATGGTTTCACCTATCAATATCTCTACCAATATCTTTTCTCTAATTATATCGACAAAACTTATTTCCCTTACCCGGTACTCTATAAATTTGTAGATTCATCAGTTGATAATAATTACAGGAGAAATAATTATTTTTAAATGTCAAAGTTATTTTACATGTACAGCACTGTAATACCACACCCACCTTTTAGAGATAATTGTTTATTTATTCCTAACCTTTCCATACTTAGCTACAAACACTTCCAGCAACTGCTACATAATCGAATATAATTTATATACAGTATACTGTTGTAGGTAACACTTGATGACAATATTGCAAATGTACAAGAATTCAGGTTGGTTAGGAAGGCAAATATCCTCTCACCACACCTGAATATTCTATACAAGTTTATTGACTTTTGGGACCATAAACACACTAAAAATGTATTCTTTACACACAATAGGTAGTAGGTGGTAGGTTTAGTGTTCGTATGCTGAGCATATCATTCCATACACGTAAAAAACCAACACCTTAAGAACATTTCTGTATAAAACACAATAATGGAAGATAATAACTGTCTTACTACGGTAAATATTGTACCATATTATTATAGGCATTTTAGTGTATTCAGGAAATTAGGTGAATTTATATACTGAAACATTGTGGAAATAATTTTGTATAATCCCATGTAATAATCTAAAACCTCGTAGCAATTTCCCCGCGGAGCCAGTGTGTTTCATCGTCAGCTTGGCAAACCATTCATTGTGTACAGGTATTTGAAAGAGATGCTGCTGCCATTGACATTTTTAAGGCTCATGGTAGTCTGCCAACTTCTGTGAAGTGCTACAGGCGTTCACACACAAAATATATAGCTTGTAGGATATCTGTACATGTTCCAAGCAGAATATAACGATCACAAGATTATACTCCACCGCTTCCTCCTACAATTAGCATCACTTTCTCCTCTAGCATCTGTTAATTAGGAAGGTTTTTATACGAGGGGGGGTCTTGGCTAGGTTAGGTCAGATCCTTCTGGTTTTTCTGATTAGGCTGCGTTTCGACATTTTTTTTTGCATTATCTTACACCACAATTTCCCCTCTACTTGAAAACCCTATCAACATTGTGCAACTAATATTGTTGATAATTGGAGAGGGGGGGGGGTCATATCTCCAATACAGCTCATTTGTGAAGGAAATGTTCAGATTACCTTGAAATACACTACGTTAGATAAGCCTATATTTGTTAGTAGTTTCTATGGTCGACCTTTTCCGAATCTTTACTAATAAAATAAACATTACAATAAGTACCTTCAATATATGAGAGGACAGGTAAAGTAATAAAGGTAGAGTACAGGTACAATATTGTGTACACTGAAGGAGCGTCGCCACCTCTTGTTGTGGACAACTTTTAAAACGTAGTTCAGGTTTATGTAGCGTTGAATTATTTTTATGCATTTATGTCATTGAATTATATCATAAGTTTTTTTTACTCATAATACATAACATTTATTATTTTTTTACTATTTTACTTTTCTAGAAATATTCATTTGATAATTAAATTAGGTTCTATTTACTTAATACATTTTGTGACTCGTATTTAAAACATACCGTACACACTATGTATACAGTGGTCATTACTAGGTGTCTCTTACAAGAACTAATCACTGTTTTAATTGACAGTTCCTCGTGAATCCCGGCCCCAGGAGTGTTGTAGTTCATGGTAAATAAGTGTACAGTACTCTATATTGGTGCCTTAGATAGTTTGGTTAATATTAGCCTTTCACCCATTCATGTTCTAGTGTTTCAGACAACCCGAAATGTTTTGTTTTTTTAATTACGAATCGATATTTAAGAGTAACGTTTCTTGTGAAAATGTCTACTCTTTAATACAATTACCCTCAAACATTAGGTATCTGCTGTTGTCGGCGCATGTTCTCGTCTGAACTGTTTAAACAGACCCGCTGTCCCGCTCTGTCCCAGCGTTGTCTCATGTCCACAAAAAACGTAAAATTACGGCATGACGTTTCCACAATTTTGGTTTTATTGGTACCAGATATCAAAGTAAGTACTTTATATTTAATATTGCTGGGGGTATGGGGGCAGGCAGGGCTCTCCGGTTAGGAAGTTAGATAAGGTTAGGTCGATTTTCAAGAACAAAATTGCTTATTTGCACAAGAAATGAAGGTCATATTTGACTAAAACACACTACACATTAAAAGAGGGGAATGGGCGAAAAACTAATAATTACCTTTTATGTTATTCAATTTTTAATAGAAACAACCCGATGTCAACGTAACGGATCACCTGAAGATTAGACCCCAAGCTTAAGATTAACCATCCTAACTGTAATCTACTCCCCCAAACAGCGTTTAGGGTGCTTAATCATCTTCCGAATTTTTCCAACAATTTTTTTTATATTTCTAGTAGGTTTTAATAAACACTAACATCTATGCGATTTATAATAATGACAACATTAAATAAAAAATTCATTATTTAAGATACAATTGATGAAAATCAATCCTAGTGTTATTTTCTCTATACGACACAAAACAAATATATGGGACTCCATTTCCGACTTTCACACAGCCCAAAGAAATAGTATTTTTCAAAACTCAAAGTTCTCAAAGATGAAAGGCTTTTACGCTTGTGCAGTATATCTTAATATAAGAAATATTTTAATTTTAATTTTATTTGTATCTTGTCTCGAAGGATATATTCTCGTTGTATCTCCAAAAATTAATATTTGATAAGACGACCCCATTTAAGCAGCAGCTTGGGTGGGCTAATTCCCTTTAAAAAAAAAAGTAACACTCCCTTATAATCCTGTGGGGTTTTGAGATATTGGTTCACACTCAGGATGGGTTGGAGAAAGGAAACTCACAATGTGCTCTCTGTATACATATTGTATTGGATGTACAATGCAGCTTGGTGCTGGGGAGTGGCAGCGTGGGTCCAAGCGTGGAGTAGAGAGAGCTGGTTGGTGAGGGTGCTCAGAGGAGGACCAGTTTGTGGGCCGCCATAGTCGCCGGCGGGAGCGGGAGCCACCAGGCAGGAGCAGAGGTGTTGCTTGCTGGTGGCTGTAGGTAGAAGAAAGAGGTAGGTCACGGCGGGGTGAGGTGTCATATAGCGGGGGTAGGGGTGGGTTGATAGTTGACCTCCGCCTTGTTAGGCGGCGCTGGTTGCCGACCTAGACCACGAGGCGCAGGCTGGGGAACTCGAAGAGGGTCGGGTTAGTCAGCGACAAACGGCGGTTGTAGGGGAGGTATCCTCTACAATCCCTCTACTTTCTAGTTGTCAGAAGTTTATTTAAGCAGCAGCATCTTCGTGGTGTATATTAATACCTGTATAGTCTTTTTCTCTTCTATTTTTAATTTCCTTTTACTGTTATTTTATTCGCCCCCCAGGCCTCGTTGTGGGTTGATGACCTGTGCCCGGGTGGGCTAACTACCAAAAAGAGAACGAGTAGAAAACCATTTAGGTAGACTAAAGTATTCCATTGGTCACAGAAAACGGCACTAGATTATTTATATTGGGCCTAGCCCAATATAAATAATCTTTCCCTCTCACTCTTCTGAATTGTCTAAGCATAAATCAACAATAAATTTCATTTAGTTGTTTTAATATTCAATTTGAATTACAAGTGGAATTAATAAAAGGCTAAAGAAAAATATTCATAATGTCTATCATATTTATTGTTACCAAAAACTAACAAATCATACACAACGAGCACAATTCATAATTAGTTTTCAAAAGCCGTTACAACTCTTATTATAAAAAAATAAGGTAGACATGCAGATAAGAGAGCACTTTATAGCACATACAATTTCCTAAGAGAACAAGCAAGTTGTTGTTGAGATGTAGAGAAGAGAGCCGTTGTCTCTGAAGGAGCAAGAAGGTGTAGGAGGAAGGTAAAGTTAGTAAGTGGGAAATAAAGTAGGAGATTTGATAACAGGTGGGCTATCCATCTAACAAGCAAGCTGAAGTACTCCCGAAGAGCTGACACAAGGACGGGTGAGTGGTGAGAGCTTGGATGTCCTTCCGGGCAACGCGGGCACTACAGATGGTGAGCGTGGAGTTACAGGCACTGGAAGGCCCGTAAGGCGTACGCTCATCATGGGTGACCTCTCTGGTGAGACAAGAAGGCACCTCAGTGTAAATAAGGGCGGGCACTCAACGAGGGCAACACCTCCGCTCGCAGTATGCCACCTGTCAAATTTATAAACGCAACAGACGACTTGCGACAGTGCGCTACTTAATGCACGAGTCGCCAACTAAATTAGATGCCAAGTATCTCTTGTGACATCCGACCAATTCTTGGGAATGTTACTTTCTAAATAGGTATTCCTTGGCAGGAGCCCCGAGAAGTTTCATAATTTGAACACTCAACACCGAAGAGCCCCCGAGGGAAATAACGGAGCCATATTTTGATAATAAACGTGATCTTGATGTTACTTTATCGTGTTAATGATCGTTATAAATATTATTACCCTCTTGTAAAATTATTTACAAAAAATCACTTCTTTAATTCTTCTATGAGCATCCATATTATTATCATATACCTACAGTATATCTTCCAAGTGCAGATGAATTATTTTAAATTTTATTGATTTTTTTGCATAAGGATAATAATAGTGATAATTAATACGAGTTTTATAAAATATTAGATATATCAGATTTCATAACTTAGTACAGTTGTTAATTATGGACATCGGCTCGGCAGTGGGTATTATACGAGTCCACTCAAGATTCAGAAGAGCCAGTGTTGTTGTAATGCAGGTTTAGAGTACTGCACCTTCGCCCCTCACTCAGGTGTATCAGGAATAACAACATAACATTTTCCGTTTTATTAATTAGAAGTTAAAATTGGATGAATAAGGTAAGCATTTACACATAGATATTTATTCAATAAAATTATCATGCAAGTTCACATTGGTTTGGCATGTTTATACATAGTATACAATGTGCATAGTGCAGGTATACAAACAACGTACATAGACAGTGCAGGTATATAAATAGTGGTAGACTAAATTGATCCAACCAAGAAAAGCCTAAGAAATTTTTAATAGTTTAGTACCATTATGATCAGTTCTTGTGCCCCCAAGCTAACTATTTTCAAGATACATTTCTATAGTATAAAACAAATCCATTCATTGAGAACAAATCATATTCATCCCAGTAATTGTAATTTACGTTTATTGTAGTTCATGTCATAATGACTTCATCCGACCTCCGCCATGTTGCACTGTTGTTGTAGTATAATAGTAAGCGATTACAATATTATTCCTTAACAATTACGTAGTTATTGTGAAATTTTATAAATGCATTTTTTTCAATATTCAGTATCATATTTTAACTTGGTTTTATTTTAATATTAATACATCATATATTAATAATGTTATTGTGTATTTTCTTGTGCTGATTATTTACGTATATCTGTGTCTGTTAAAAGGTTTGTATATATCCTTATGTATATTTTTTTATTAGATCGTTTATCAGTCAGCTAATATAAGTATATATTATTACTTTTCACTTGTATATAATTACTTACCAATGTTATTGATTATACTTTGACGGTTGCGTGTGTATAATGAGAGCCACGTGTAAAGTTGTGATGGCTGTGTATATTGTAAATGAAAGTTCAGCTTGATTTAATTTTTCCACGTATCAGTTTACAAGCCGTTCTGTTGGTCTGTTATGAACTTTATTGTTCAGTGTTAGTTCATGAGGGAAACTGTGGTACTTGGAGATAACTTGCCGTGTTTGTTAGGGTCACTCTGGATAATATCCTTCTCCCATCTGTCCCGGGCCGGGAATTGAACCCAGATTACGTTGTTTTACCGCTGTAAAGGAACCTACAGGGTATAGTGGTGTAAATGACTCGTTGTAAGTAGAGAAACAAGTGTTAGCGATCTTGTTTTAAAACTTACCTTCATGTTTGTGAGTGTTGTGGGTCACGTGACGTCACCACCGTGTTGTGTTAAGTTTGTGGGTCACGTGACGTCACTACCGTGCTGTGTTAAGGTTGTGGGCCACGTGACGTCACTACCGTGCTGTGTTAAGGTTGTGGCCCACGTGATGTGCCCACAGCCTTAAGACAGCCAGTAACACCATCGTCTCAGTTTTCTTACATCAAATGAGGGGAGTTGTTGGGGGTCAAATGAGAGTCTGCATTAAGCCTCATAAGCTTTATTCTCAAAATATACAAACAGACAAAAGATAATCGCTTATTGTCACAAAATGGTAAAAAAAAAAAGATTTTCACAACCATGAATTATTTTTTTAATGTGAAATATGTTAAGGTATCATGACGTGGAGTGGAACATCAACGTAATACAGAGGACAACTGACTCGTGCAACATGGCGTGCTGTAGGATGCTCTCGTCTGGTACCCCCTTCTAGTATACATAGACAATAGGTATGTACTGGTGTAACGATGACATCTGATTGGCTAATTTACCAACCAATAAGGGACGAGGCAATTAAAATAAAATGACATACAATAGCTACAACTTTAAATTTTATGATATCACAAAAAAATAGTTTGTTTCTACCGCAAATTATAATTGTTACTTCTCCGCCATGTTTGTTTTGACTGCAACTCGTCTGTCAATGGTTAGCTTATCAGCCAATCAGATGCCTTCGTTCTGCCAGTAGATACCTGTTGTCTTGTGTACACTATAGGGGGGTACCAGTGTAGGATGCTCTTTGCTCACACAGAAATTCGGAACAACTCACAGAAGGAACTTGTCCAACATAGTGAATGGCTGAGACTGGTCAGACTAGGTCAGACCAAGGCGGGATTCTCAAAAGTTATCATGTTATTTTTTTTTTCCTCGTAAATGGTGATGGAGAAATACTGGTTCATTTAAGCAACGATACAAAGATGGTCTCTCTTAAGGTTCGTAAGTCGATTTTCCCTCTTAACCTTTCATTATGATACAAGGGAAGATTCTCAAAGGTTCGTAAGTCGATTTTCTTTTTCTCTTAACTGGTTGTGGTAAAGTATAGGATCACAGTTAATTGGGTCATTAAGAACAACATATGTATTCACTGCTAAAAAATGGCGTCTGAACTGAATTGAGACTGTATAGTAGACAGGGAGAACAAATAAGGCGAGCTTGTTGAACCTTTGAGAACCTGGGGCCGTGTGTGTGTGTCACCAGGAGCTGTGGTAGTCCTGGCTCTCACGTTCACACACACACACACACACTGTAAATGTCTGGCCCGCATGAGTGTCTCCACCTAGCCACTCACTCTCAATACCTCCCCTGTATTTCAAAGCTAAACACTTATCCTGTAACTCAAGTCTTATTTCTTGTCGTAACTCAGAGATAAATACGTTCTCCGTAACTGGGAGCCTTATTTCTTGTCGTAACTCAGAGATAAATACGTTCTCCGTAACTGGGAGCCTTATTTCTTGTCGTAACTCAGAGATAAATACGTTCTCCGTAACTCGGAGCCTTATTTCATGTCGTAACTCAAAGCTCAAGACCATTCTTTTAAGTCAGAGGCTAACAATCGTGACGTAAGTAACTTAAATAGAACAGTGTAGTTATAGCGTCTACAGCAGGTATTATGCATAGGACGAGGCAAAACACACACACACACACACACACACACACACGATCATTTCGAAACAAGTTATTATTAGGACAAGGCTTCTTTGGTTAGGTTGGCGTGGGAGAGGTTAGGTTGGGTTAGGTTGGGTTGGGTTGGGTTAGGTTAGGTTAGGTTAAATTGAGTATGGTTGGGTTAGGTTAGGTTAAATTGCGTATGGTTGGGTTAGGTTAGGTTAAATTGCGTATGGTTGGGTTAGGTTAGGTTAAATTGAGTATGGTTGGGTTAGGTTAGGTTAAATTGAGTATGGTTGGGTTAGGTTAGGTTAAATTGCGTATGGTTGGGTTAGGTTAGGTTTTAGCTTTGTCCCATATAATAATCATCACGTGTATACACCTTAACAACAACACGATCTCACCACATTACAACCTCACCTTCAACAACAACACCTCTTTATAACACACCACAACCTTGTACGGCTCCTGTGTGAATTGGATAAACACGACAGAGTATTAAATAACACGTGGAACAGAACGAGAGAGTAAAGAAACGGGGGAAAAAAACGAAATAGTGGAAAAAGCGGAAATAACGAAAAAAAAAAACCCGGAAAAACGGAAGAAAAAAAGATCTTTCGATTTGGTGGCAAGAGATCTCGGGACACTACACAATAGCCATCCCTGTCAGAGGAAAATAGTATTATCGACAAGAGGAAAGAAGAGAGAGGAGGTGTGTTGGGGTGTGTTCCGGGCAGATCTTCCTGATATCAAGTTTATTTCCACTATGAAGAGAGCAGGGAGGAGTGTGTGTGTGTGTGTTGCCTCAGGCGCTTTGCAACACAAGACCTCCCCCCCCCACACACACACGCACACACATTTCTGAGAACTTCATGTTGTGTGTGTGTGCAGTGAGTTGTGTACATGGTGGTGGTGGTGTGGTAGTAGTGGTGGTGGTGTGGTAGTAGTGGTGGTGGTGTGGTAGTAGTGATGGTGGTTATGATGGCAGGGTATAGTGTGTTAATAGTGGTGGTGGCAGGCAGGGAGGAGGCACTACACTGGTATAGCGTGTTGACATGCAAGTAATTTATAAACGTTTTTGTGTTAGGTTGAGGACTTCTAAGGCCTTTGTGTGTGTGTGTGTGTGTGTGTGTGTGTGTAAGAAACAGATTTACAGTTATAGCAGCAAATGGGTCTCCGTCTGAACACTTGTCTCATAAGATTGAGTCCACACCCGTCCATTGGAGAGAGAGAGAGAGAGAGAGAGAGAGAGAGAGAGAGAGAGAGAGAGAGAGAGAGAGAGAGAGAAGGTGGGCGGGGATCAATAGCGGAACAGTGTTGTAGCAGAGCAGCATACTAGGGTGGTGAGACGACTACACAGTAGTGGTAGTGGTGGTTGCGGTGGTGGTAGTGGGGGTGGTGATGGTGGTGGTGGGTGATTGTGGTAGTAGGGTGGTGGTGATGAGGGTGATAGTAGTGGTGGTGGGTTGTGGTTGTGGTGGTGGTGGTGATGATGGTTGAGGGTAATTGTGGTGGTGGTTGTGGTGTTATTGACAGTTGTGGTGTTGGTGGTGGTTGTGGTGATGATGGTAGTGGTGATGGTTGTGATTGTGGTGGTTTTAGTGATGGTGGTTGTGGTGATGAAGGTGGTAATTATGATGTTTCTAGTGGTAATGAGTTAGTGGTGATGGTAGTAGTGATAGTGATGGCAGCAGTGGTGGTGATGATGGTGGTAGTGGTGGCGATGATGGTGGTAGTGGTGGCGATGGTGGTAGTGGTGGTGATGGCAGCAGTGGTGGTGGTGATGGTGGTCGTATTAGTGGAAGAAGTGATGTTGTTGTTGTAGTAGTAGTAGTAGTAGTAGTAGTAGTAGTAGTAGTAGTAGTAGTAGCAGTAGTAGTAGTAGTAGTAGTAGTAGTAGTAGTAGTAGTAGTAGTAGTAGCTCCTCTTTAACTTAAAAGGTAACAACGAATTTTACTTAATAATTCTTGAATATATTTATAAGTTAGGATCACAACCTTAACTTGATAATATATAAGACTGACCTAACCTTCCTATATACGATTCAAGTTAAAGAGAGATTCTCAAAGGTTCGTAAGTCAAAGAGTGATTCTCAAAAGTTCGTAAGTCAAAGAGGGATTCTCAAAGGTTCGTAAATTAAAGAGGGATTCTCAAAGGTTGTTAAGTCAAAGAGGGATTCTCAAAGGTTGTTAAGTCAAAGAGAGATTCTCAAAGGTTCGTAAATTAAAGAGGGATTCTCAAAGGTTGTTAAGTCAAAGAGAGATTCTCAAAGGTTGTTAAGTCAAAGAGGGATTCTCAAAGGTTGTTAAGTCAAAGAGAGATTCTCAAAGGTTGTTAAGTCAAAGAGGGATTCTCAAAGGTTGTTAAGTCAAAGAGGGATTCTCAAAGGTTGTTAAGTCAAAGAGGGATTCTCTGCAAGGCTATTAAGTCAGCAGGATTCTCAATAGTTCGTGTCAGAGGGATTCTCAATAGTTCGTAAGTCAAAGAGGGATTCTCAAAGGTTGTTAAGTCAAAGAGGGATTCTCAAAAGTTCGTAAGTCAAAGAGGGATTCTCAAAGGTTCGCAAGTTAATTTTCTCAACTTATTTAAGTTACGAGCTCCACCAGGGGTTATGATTTCAAAGATGGCCGCCCTAAGACACTACTCTGCGGTAAAAAGTCAGATGTCTCTCTGATTATGTTGTGTTTATTTCTTCTCTCTCTTTCTCTCTCTTTTCTCCTCTCTTCTCGCTATCCCCTCTTATTTCCTTCTTCTCTACCTCTTATTCTTTCCTTCCTCCTTTTCTCTTGTTCTTCCTATTCCCTCCCTCCCTCTTTTTCCTTCCTTCCCTCCATAATATTATCGAGATATCTATCACTAGCTATGACGTCATCGAGGTCTTTACCACTTGCTATAACGTCATCGAGGTCTTTACCACCTGCTATGACGTCACCAAGGCCTCTACCACTTATGACGTCATCGAGGTCTTTACCACCTGCTATGACGTCACCAAGGTCTCTACCACTTGTTATGACGTCATCGAGGCGACTTCAATTGTTCTATGGCGTCATGGAGGTGTCATTGACGTCACAGGCACCAATTTGGCATTCGTCCAGCTGAACACTTACCAGCTCCTGACTTACTAAGGTTCACACGATCAATATTCCTTTGTGAGTTGGGAAGACGTAAAAAGAAAACCTAATTAGTTAAGTATGAACAAGATAATTATAACAAGAACAAAACCAATTGGCGCAACACAATTATGACACGGACAAGATAACATGAAATTGACACAAAGGCACATTAATGACACACAAAGAAATAACATCAGAATTATGCCACAAATTAGAAAAATAACAGAATTATACCACAAATCACAAAGATAATAACCCAATTATACCACAAAACACCAAGATCAAACTGAGACTCCAAGCTTAACTAGATACTGTAACATTCACTTTTACACCAGGAGATAAAATTAAGGTACATAAATCTTCTAACACTTATCTAACTTAATTTAATCACTTAACTGGTGTGAGAATGCTTAAAGTGAATGTATCTTAGTGTTAAATTGACGATTAATGTTTTGATTTGGTGTTTTTATCTTCAAGTTAATTACATTCTATTATTTTCACCGATGAGGAATATTGAACGTATGAACCTTTGTCTATTACGTTACTATTATCCCCGTCTGTATGTCGGTCCCAATTGTATGCCTATTTAGTATTTTTCGGGTAGGTCTCATTTTTTTTAAAGACTTTGAGAGAGTGAGTGAATGTGGGTAGGCAGAGACGCGTCATTTGGTTCGAGTAATGTATGTTGCTTGTGCTGGCGAGCCGTCGTGTTTTGTTACCCCGCCCCACCACCACCCTACCCTACCCCGCCCCACCTCCCGTTAATGGGGCAATCGGTTCATATAATGGTTATATTAGTGAAACTCCGGGCTGCCAGCGAGTGAATCATCCTGTATCTCAACATAAGAACACACCGAGAGGACCATCATAGTCTAGTTCGAGGGATGATAAGTTTACTGGTTGTGTTTACATTAGTTTTCATTCTTTAAGGGGATATGTAGGTAAAACAGATGTAAAGAGCACACCGGCATAAAATGACTTACAGTGATCACATATCCATACACATTCGCCGTCCGTCTCCTGAAGCACAGCAATAATGTTTGTTGGTGTTAACAGGTATGTCGTGAGGGTGAAACAAAAGCTAAGAGTACTGTACGTCCACACGTATCACAGGCACAAATGAACTGGGTTTTTTCCACCTGTTATAAACAGCAGTCATTAAGTGATGAAATCAAGCACGCACACAATATATATATATATATATATATATATATATATATATATATATATATATATATATATATATATATATACACACAAAAGGAGAGCGAGAGAGAGAGAGAGAGAGAAAAGTCAGATATGGTAGCTATAAAGATGGCGGCGGGTGGCCAAGTGAAGGAAGTGATGCGGCAGCACAACACAGCTGGTGCTGGTGGCTGCTGGAGCTCTAAGGGTCAGTCTATCACTAGGACGCGGAGGAGAATGCGAGTGAGGCCAAGCTTTGTACACCCCGACTAGCCAGTGAGGGGCTACACCTACACTACACTAGGGTACACTACTCGATCATACCTCCAGCTTGCAAGTCACGTGATTCTTTTGTTTAGGTCCGCCACTTGCTCTCTCTTACTGTTTACTGCTGGGAAATTTAAGGAGGAGGAGCGATCAGAAATTCACTGGACAGAAATGACGGGAGAGTCATTTTTGTACGTGACAATGACAAGAAACTGGGCGTGAAGTGTGAGGGTGGCAGCAGTCTGACACACTTCCTGCTCCAGGGAGTTATGGCCAAAGTTTTCTGGATACAAATAATCAGTGGAACATCTCCAGTGTACACTCCTACATAGATTCTCGTGTACATATTGATTCCACAGTGAAAATTTTTGATTATTGTTTTTTTTTCGAGTATACATAGCTTGATGAACTGCATACAAAGGACACCTAACATAAGATGATAGAGAAGCGAGTTGAATAACTATGTACAGCATCATAGTGAGTGACCCGCGGGCCCTGAGTCCTAGTGGCCCTCACTGTTGAGGACACCAGGAGTGTCCCAACAGCCTGGGTACACCAGCAGCAGGCCTACGGGTGACCACTACTACAGTGTTGCTATCATACTATGTTACACAGCAACAACACCACCACACAACTTTCTCTGATCTTAACACCGTCCTCTACATCGTACCTAACACTCGGTACTTCCTATGTTACAATAAATACTTTATTTATATAGTGGCCACTTCCTATACATTCTGTGACCCCATTCATCAACAACAAGAGTGTCGGCGTACACCATAATAATATACAAGAATACCTGGTGAGCAGCCTGGACACAAGAGGGTCAACCTTGGTGTAGTGGCCGGCTGTGCAGGTACACCGGAAGGGCTCCTGACCAGCCTACACTTGATAATTTACAAGACAACATCACCTTAGCTGCCATCGGGAAATGACATCATCTTAACTCAGGAAGCTGTTGACTTTCTTATGTGAGATTCAGACTAACTTAAAACTTGAGGCTTCAGTCTGCTCTACCTCTCTCATGTCTTGTTCTAAAACCGGCTTGTGTGAGTCTAGGCTGTCTCAGTGATTTTTTTAAAAGATCTCCAGAAGGTGACATGATGCTGGGTCAGGAAGCTGTGTGTGTACAGGAGATGACAATCGTGTGTCATGTCACCTGTGAAACTTATTTAAGATGACCCCCAGGTGTAAAAATTACCCGAGTTGAGGACATTAGCTCTCCCAATCCAAGTGATTTTTAATAGGACATTATTTAGAGGGTGATATTAAAAGTATGCACTTAACGTGTGTTTGGTGCCACAGACACACTATTAACGTCTCCTGTACACACACAGCTTCAACACAGTGTCTTGCCACCTCTCACCTCCTGACGCGACTCCATTATTAAGCTTATTTGGTGGAAGTAAATTTGGTATTGTTTTGCTGACCTCGAGTCCCTCATCAGATACACGTGTACTGATTCATCTTTTTATCACCATTATTATGTATTATTAATCATGTGTCATTCCTTCTATGACTCCTATTATGTCATTCTGTCACATATGTTCTACATGTGTCATTCCTTAACACAAGTGACTCCTACAGGTATCATTCCTTTACACATGACTCTTGCATGTGTCGTTTCATTACACATGATTCTACATGTGTCGTTCCCTTACACATGTGACTCCTACATGACATATCTATACCATAATTTGTTGCTCTCACAGCATATGTCATCATACTGATTATTTGTATTATAATAATTTAGTGGCTTGAAGATGAAGGATCCACACGGCTAAGACGTTCTCACTACTCATGTTATCCTCTTAATTAAAGTTAATTTTAACAAGAAACTGATTTTTCTGAAATAGTTAACTAACTACTACGGGCTGGATTGAATGACTTAAAAGTCCTATAAGAAGGTGTGAAGGAGGCCTTAAATAACCGCGTCTTATCACATAGTCAAGTGAACCATTATATCTCATTATCAGTATCACAAGAGACACGGGTTCACTTAGTTATGCATCTGCCAGAAGGATAAATTTGATGGCGGTGGCCTGCCACTAACAGTCCGCTAATCACTTAATTTTAGTCATGTTCTACTTGTATGTGGAGTCTGTGAGTGAGTGTGGTGTGTGTGGCCTGGATGAGGGCTTGGCTGGCGTGTGTGGGGGACGGCTCACTTCTCTCCCCGCAGGTCATCGTCACTGTCGTCCAGGAAGTCTGTGTGGAAGGCCCCTTGGGAGGCATAGACTCGGTTCTGCTTCCTGACGAGGGCCCAGTCCTGCTGGCCGAGCAACTCGTCTACACGCTGCTGGAAGGTGCGGTACCAGTGGGCGAAATCCCGGTGGAGGCGAGACAAACAGTAGGAGATCTCCACCACCCGGTCTGTCTTCCTCAGGCGCCACTCCAGCTCGTAGGTGAAGCGGCCCTCAGACAGCCTCTCCAGCTCCCGGGAGAGAGTTCGGCGGGTCGGGTGCTCGGAGCCCTTGATGCTGGGGTGGTGTGAGCGTAGCACCACGTGATGGTCGTTCCACTTTGGTGCCCACGTGCGGACGGCGGCCAACATCCCCCGCATCTCGTGGTCGGAGGAGTCCTGGTGACTCTGGTACTCGATGGGGATGTTCTCGTAGAAGAACGACCAGTCGGTGATGGTCTTGTCGGTCTTCCATACGCAGAAGCCGCCTATGTGGTTGCCGGAGGCGGTGGTGGCGACGTAGACCAGCTTATGGGCAAGGGGACGGCGGCTGCTGGTGGCGGAGGTGGTGGTGGTAGTTGAGGTGGAGGTGGTGGTGGTGGTGGTGGTGGTAGTGGTGGTGGTGGTGTTGGGCGCCGCTGTGCTCGCCACCGACGACACGTTCACCGCCTTGGTGGAGGGGGCCTTGCCGGTGGTGCGGGGAGGGGCGTGGGTGGTAAAGATCGTTGAAGTGGCTACCTTGGCAGCAGCCACTTTGGCGGCGGCCACCTTGGCGGCGGCGGTGGAGACGACGGGGGCAGCGGAAGTGATGTTACCTCTCTTGTGTGGGGCGGGGGTAGCGTTGAGGGCCGCTGTGGAGTTGTCCACTACCACGGGGGGCGTGGAGGGGCTCCCCACCACGGTGACGGCCGCCACCTGGGCCACGGAGGCCGGGGCCTCTGAGGTGCCTACGGTGTCTTCTGTGGTCACGTTGTCCTCACTATCCTTCTTGTCCTCGTCCACCACCACTTTCTCCTTGCTGTCATCGTCGTCGTCGTCACCGCTTTCTTCATCGTCATCGTCAGAGTCTCTGTTGCGTGTTGCGTTGGTGTCTTCCATGACGGCGAGGGTGACGGCTGACTCGTGCAGGGTCACGATGCCGCCGGCTGTGCTAGTGGATGTGGTGGTGTTGGCGGGAGCTGCGGCCTTCGCCGTGGTGTTGGGGCTGGGTGCGGTGTAGTTCTCCCGGGTGAGGGCGGCACTCTGTAGTACACTGAGCACCTGGACGTGGTCAGACTGGTGGTGTTGATACTGATGGTGGTGAAGAGAGTGGTTACGGACGGGCACAGGCTGGAACACTACCAGGGTACGGTCGCTCACCTGCGCCAGGCGGAGAGACAGGTAGGGCACTACGGCCAGGGCGACGAGTAGCAGTGTACCTAACAGTACCCGTACTACCCACACACCCACGCCCGCACGCCCACGCTCCTCTCCCACCACTGTGTATAACACATACTTCTTCTCTTTACCATCCACCACCTTCTCCTCCATCTGCAATAACAGAAAAAAATCTGATTAGTAGAAGTCTTTATCAGTGTGTGTGTGTGTGTGTGTGTGTGTGTGTGTGTGTGTGTGTGTGTGTGTGTGTGTGTGTGTGTGTGTGTGTGTGTGTATATATTGTTAGACCTAATACTGATGAACGCTCAAGAAGAAACTTACACAGTGAACAAATTTACACTTGTACTCGAAAGCAGAAAGTACTTTATACAGCTTAGAAACATCAGTGTGCAGTAGAGGGGGTAGTGCCAGTCTCACGTGACCTAACCCTGGCAGCAGAAGTTACTACCTGAAGAATCATCAACAATACAGTAGTTCCTCTGAAGTGTAGATCAAGAACAGTACCTTTATATCCGTTCATGTGTATGGTCGTTATGCACGGCTACAAAATTGGAAGATAAAGAATTGGAATTTTATGGGACTGGCCTAATGGTTGCCCCCCCCCCTCCCCCATCCTCAATTTGCTATAAACTACCGAAGGTTTATAAGAGAGAAAGCTGAAATTTGCAATGGTTATTTATTTATTTATTTATTTATTTATTTATTTATTTTTACGTGTTCACTTAATAGGTGTTTTCACCTACCCTGGTTAAAGTTACTGCGTTGTGTTAAATGAAGGGAGGAGGGGAGGGGAGGGGAGGGTGGCATTTAGTCCCCAGCGAACTGCCACTCGTCTCACTCTTAAGTTGGTATAATGGAAGTGTGTATATTAGAAAGTAACAAGGAATTATAAAATAAATATGAGGCATTAGGGGAGTATGAGGCATTAGGGGAGTATGAGGTATCAGGGAAGTATGAGGGGCTGGGGTGCCGTGTGTCTGTCGATCAATTGTTAGGACGGCATTAGCTCCTCCTCCGACCAGGTGAACACCCTCCTGGCGCCAGCTGACCACGCCCACCTGTCTGTGTGTGTGTGGTGACCTGTGGTGTAATGGTCAGCATGCTAGCCTCGCAAGAGAGTGGACTCGGGTTCGATCCCCGGGCATTTGCCTCTGTCTACCCAGCAGTAATTGGGAACCTGGATGTTAAACGATTTGTGGATCGTGTTCCGGGGTAATGGTTAGCCAGTGTAGTTGGCGAATTGTCCGGTCTTCTTGGACTATTTCTTGACACTGGATCATGCAGCTCGTTAACTTAGGGTGTGGTTGTTGTGTTGACGACAGCTTCTACACCTTAAAAACAAATTCACGCCTAGGTGGCCCTTGGACCGGCCATCCTTGATTTCTAGGAGCATCCATTATTATGTGTGTGTGTGTGTGTGTGTGTGTATGTGTGTGTGTGTGTGTATGTGTGTGTGTGTGTGTGTGTAGCTTTTGAAACCCTAATATAAGAGCGTCATAATCTTGGTTCAGGATATTGTGGAAGTCAATTTAACTGAAGCAATTTCATTATACATTTCGACACTTGTGATGAAGACTGAGGAGAGAGATGCAAGTTAATATAACCTTTACACAGTGAAGGAAGAAGGTTGAAATTGTGTTTTGTTTTCCGGATTACATACACCTGCGGATTGAACACCTTAGCGGTAAAGGGGGGGGGGCGGCGACGGGGTTAGGTGAGTAACTGTCTGGGAAGGTGAGTAACTGTCTGGGAAGGTGAGTAACTGTCTGGGAAGGTGAGTAACTGTCTGGGAAGGTGAGTAACTGTCTGAGAAGGTGAGTAACTGTCTGGGAAGGTGAGAAACTGATGAGTGACTGGTGAGTGACTGTCTGGGAAGGTGAGTAACCGGTGAGTGACTGGTTGGCTAGGAATCAAGGGAGGAAAGACGGGGGAGGGTGGGATGGAAGGGAGGAAAGGTTGACAGCCACTGCACCAATGTTGAATCAATAGCTGCTGCCACACCCAGTACCAGACCCCACCCTAGTACCACTACACCCAGTACCAGGCTCCACCCTAGTACCACTACACCCAGTACCAGACCCCACCCTAGTACCACTACACCCAGTACCAGACCCCACCCTAGTACCACTACACCCAGTACCAGACCCCACCCTAGTACCACAACACCCAGTACCAACCCCACCCTAGTACCACTACACCCAGTACAGACCCATAGTACTCACGTACCAACCCCTGTACCACTACACCCAGTACCAGACCCCACCCTAGTACCACAACCAGCACCAGACCCCACCCTAGTACCACAACACCCAGTTCAACCCCACCCTAGTACCACTACCCCAGTACCAGACCCACCCTAGTACCACAACACAGTACCAACCCACCCTAGTACCACTACACCCAGTACCAGACCCCACCCTAGTATTAACAGTACCAGACCCCACCTAGTACCACTACACAGTACCAGACCCCACCCTAGTACCATAACACCAGTCCAGACCCCACCCTAGTACCACTACACCCAGTACTAGACCACCCTAGTACCACAACACCAGTACAGACCCCACCCTAGTACCACAACACCAGTACCAGACCCCACCCTAGTACCACACCGTACAGACCCACCCTAGTCCACAACACCCAGTACCAGACCCCACCTTAGTACTACTACACCCAGTACCAGGCCCCACCCTAGTACCACAACACCCAGTACCAGACCCACCTAGTACCACAACACCCAGTACCAGACCCACCCTAGTACCACCCAGTACCAGACCCCACCCTAGTACCCACTACACCCAGTACCAGACCCCACCCGTACCACTACACCCAGTACCAGACCACCCTAGTACCACTACACCCAGTACCAGACCCCACCTAGTACCACTACACCCAGTACCAGACCCCACCAGTACCACTACACCCAGTACCAGACCCCACCCTAGTACCACAACACCCAGTACCAGACCCCACCCTAGTACCACAACACCCAGTACCAGACCCCACCAGTACCACTACACCCAGTACCAGACCCCACCCTAGTACCACTACACCCAGTACCAGGCTCCACCCTAGTACCACTACACCCAGTACCAGACCCACCCTAGTACCACTACACCCAGTACCAGACCCACTCTAGTACCACTACACCCAGTACCAGACCCACCCTAGTACCACTACACCCAGTACCAGACCCACCGTACACTACACCCAGTACCAGCCCCACCCTAGACCACTACACCCAGTACCAGACCCCACCAGTCCACTACACCCAGTACCAGACCCCACCCTAGTACACTACACCAGTAAACCCCCACTAGTACCACTACACCCAGACCAGACCCCACCCTAGTACCACTACACCCGTACGACCCCACCTATAACACACCCAGTACCAGACCCCACCCAAGTACCACTACACCCAGTACCAGACCCACCCTAGTACACACTACACCCAGTACCAGACCCCACCCTAGTACTACACCCAGTACCAGGCTCCACCCTAGTACCACTACACCCAGTACCAGACCCCACCCAAGTACCACTACACCCAGTACCAACCCCACCCTAGTACCATACACCCAGTACCAGACCCACCCATACCACTACACCCAGTACCAAACCCACCCTAGTACCACAAACCCAGTACCAGACCCCACCCTAGTACCACACACCTAGCAGACCCCACCCTAGTATCACCCAGTAAGGCCCACCCTAGTACCACTACACCCAGTACCAGACCCCACCCTAGTACCACACACCCAGTACAGGCCCCACCCTAGTACCATAACACCCAGTACCAGACCCCACCCTAGTACCACTAACGTACCAGACCCACCCTTACATCACACCCAGTGCAGGTCCACCTAGTACACAACACCAGTACCAGACCCCACCCTGTACACTACACCCAGTACAGTCCACCCTAGTACCACAACACCCAGTAGGCACCAAGTACCACACCCAGTACCAGACCACCCTAGTTGTTGGTTTGTGTAGTACCACAACAGTACAGACCCACCTGTACTACACAGTACCAGACCACCCTAGTACCACACATCAGTACCAGGTCCCTAGTACACACCAGTACCAGACCCACCTAGTACCACTACACCAGTACGATCCACCCTAGTACCACACCCAGTACCAGACCCCACCCTAGTACCACTACACCCAGTACCAGACCCACAGTGTGATGATGTGGTATGGTAGTATGGTATGGTAGTGTGGTGTGGCAGTGGTGTGGCAGTGGTGTGGTGTGGCAGTGGTGTGGCAGTGAAGGCCTGCACGTAAGGTTACGCCCCTTAGTGCACGCTATTCCGCTTCCTGTCGCTCGATAAGTTTCTTGACATGATACTGACCCCATGATTGACCCCCAGATTGACCCCAATGACTGAACCCCATGATTGGACCCCATGACTGACCCCCATTCCTGACCCCCCATGATTGACCCCATGATTGACCCCATGACTGACCCCCATGATTGACCCCCATGATTGACCCCTAGACCCCCATGACTGACCCACGACTAATTTCAAAAGGCATATGTGTGTGGAGAGAGAGAGAGAGAGAGAATAAATATTGTACAACACCGACCTAGGAATTAGTGTTGTGTGGTAGAAGATGGTACCGATAAAACACACACACACACACACACACACACAACACACACACACACAACACACACACACAGTCAATGAAATAATAATACGAAAAAATCTACGAAAGGCGACTGTCACTTTTTTTGGGGGATTCTGTTACTTATTAGAGAGAGAGAGAGGGAGAGAGAGGGGGGAGAGGTGTGTGTGTGTTAAGATTGTATACTTGTTTATGTCATCTCTCTCTCTCTCTCTCTCTCTCTCTCTCTCTCTCTCTCTCTCTCTCTCTCCCCTGACATAAACACCCCCACCATTAATCTTGACCCCGGAGATTATGTGTGACGCAGTGGTTATACCATTCAGCCGGTGACTCAGGACCGGATTCACTCTGTGAGTGACGGTGTGGGGGGAGGTATATCTGCGCTGCATTATCTCTCTCTCTCTCTCTCTCTCTCTCTCTCTCTCTCTCTCTCTGTTTTCGTTTCTCCTCCAAAGGCAAGAGAGAGAGAGAGAGAGAGAGAGCATTTGTACAGCATTTACAGATCTTTATAGTGCATCAGTGACACAGCATTAGCACAGCATTAGCACAGCATTAACCCTTTCACCGCGTGTCATGCACTTGCCATTTTATTCTGACCACCGCCTGACGATTTTATTCAACTTAGGGTAAAAACTCCCTCTGTGAAAGGTTTAACATAGCAGTGAGAACAGCACCACTAGCACAGCAGTAACACAGCAATGAGAGGGCCACACCCACATGCTGGGCTGTGCTGTGCTGGGCTGCTGTGTCTTGGCTGCAACGATCAATTTCATCAATTATAAAAACATACACCTGGGGAGCGAGTTGTGGCACCTGTCTCTTGACCTCCTTCTACGGTCTGTCTGTGTCTGCCTGTCTGTCTGAAGGCCAGCTTGAAGGTGTGTGTGTGTGTGTGTGTGTGTGTGTGTGTGTGTGTGTGTGTATGTATGTATCAGTTTTCTATATCCAGATTCCTGAAGGTTGATAAGGTTAATGTTCCTCGTAAGTGAAAATGGCCAGAATATACCTTAATTGGTCTCCTAACTGGTGCTAAGTGAAGGTATCTAGTTAAGGTAGAGTCTCAGTGTTAATTTTGTCTCCTAACTGGTGCTAAGTGAAGGTATCTAGTTAAGGTAGAGTCTCAGTGTTAATTTTGTCTCCTAACTGGTGCTGAGTTAAGGTATCTAGTTAAGGTAGAGTCTCAGTGTTAATTTTGTCTCCTAACTGGTGCTAAGTGAAGGTATCTAGTTAAGGTAGAGTCTCAGTGTTAATTTTGTCTCCTAACTGGTGCTGAGTTAAGGTATCTAGTTAAGGTAGAGTCTCAGTGTTAATTTTGTCTCCTAACTGGTGCTGAGTTAAGGTATCTAGTTAAGGTAGAGTCTCAGTGTTAATTTTGTCTCCTAACTGGTGCCAAGTGAAGGTATCTAGTTAAGGTAGGGTCTCAGTGTTAATTTTGTCTCCTAACTGGTGCTAAGTGAAGGTATCTAGTTAAGGTAGAGTTTCAGTGTTAATTTTGTCTCCTAACTGGTGCTGAGTTAAGGTATCTAGTTAAGGTAGAGTCTCAGTGTTAATTTTGTCTCCTAACTGGTGCTAAGTTAAGGTATCTAGTTAAGGTAGAGTCTCAGTGTTAATTTTGTCTCCTAACTGGTGCTAAGTGAACGTATCTAGTTAAGGTAGAGTCTCAGTGTTAATTTTGTCTTCTAACTGGTGCTAAGTGAACGTATCTAGTTAAGGTAGAGTTTCAGTGTTAATTTTGTCTCCTAACTGGTGATAAGTGAAGGTATCTAGTTAAGGTAGATTCTCAGTGTTAATTTTGTCTTCTAACTGGTGCTAAGTGAACGTATCTAGTTAAGGTGGAGTCTCAGTGTTAATTTTGTCTCCTAACTGGTGTTAAGTGAACGTATCTAGTTAAGGTGGAGTCTCAGTGTTAATTTTGTCTCCTAACTGGTGCTAAGTGAACGTATCTAGTTAAGGTAGAGTCCCAGTGTTAATTTTGTCTTCTAACTGGTGCTAAGTGAACGTATCTAGTTAAGGTAGAGTTTCAGTGTTAATTTTGTCTCCTAACTAGTGCTAAGTGAAGGTATTTAGTTAAGGTAGGGTTTCAGTGTTAATTTTGTCTCCTAACTGGTGCTAAGTGAACGTATCTAGTTAAGGTAGGGTTTCAGTGTTAATTTTGTCTCCTAACTGGTGCTAAGTGAAGGTATCTAGTTAAGGTAGGGTTTCAGTGTTAATTTTGTCTCCTAACTAGTGCTAAGTGAACGTATCTAGTTAAGGTAGGGTTTCAGTGTTAATTTTGTCTCCTAACTGGTGCTAAGTGAAGGTATCTAGTTAAGGTGGAGTCTCAGTGTTAATTTTGATATTATTTTTGTGTTTTAGATTGAAGTTTAAACCATTTAATCACATTCTGCCATCATCCATCATGGGGAGTGGGTGGAGGGATGAAAGAGGAGGGGTTGAGGGGGGTGAGGGTGGGGAATATTGATGGTAGGAACCTTTGAGGATGAACCCTGGCGCCTCTGTCCTAACCCTTCCCACACAGGTATTCAAGATTCAAACAACACGGGCCCCCCTCTCCTCCTCCTCCTCCCCCCACTGTCTCTGTTTGCTGCCCCTCCCCCGTTGCCTCTGTTTGCTGCCTCCCTCCCCTGTTGCCTCTGTTTGCTGCCCCCATCCCCCTTGCCTCTGTTTGCTGCCCCCCTCCCTCCCCGTTGCCTCTGTTTGCTGCCCCCTCCCTCCCCCGTTGCCTCTGTTTGCTGCCCCCCTCCCTCCCCCTGTTGCCTCTGTTTGCTGCCCCCCTCCCTCCCCCGTTGCCTCTGTTTGCTGCCCCCTCCCTCCCCCAGTTGCCTCTGTTTGCTGCCCCCTCCCCTCCCCTGTTGCCTCTGTTTGCTGCCCCCCTCCCTCCCCCGTTGCCTCTGTTTGCTGCCCTCCCTCCCCGTTGCCTCTGTTTGCTGCCCTCCCTCCCCTCGTTGCCTCTGTTCACGTCAACCCACCCCCCCTTGCCTCTGTACACTGGCCCTCTTAGCAACGTAATTTATTCATTCTCTCTCTCTCTCTCTCTCTTCTCAGCAGCATCCTGGACACACTCAGGTTATAAATAAATAGTAATGAAGGAAGTAATCGATTAGTCTCCATCACCTGACTCGGTATTCTTGGTTAGGTTAGGTTGAGGGTAAGATTAGGTTGTATTAAGTTAAGTTAACCTACCTTAAAGCTGATTTAGTTCAGGGTCACCACACAAACCGGGGATTAGCGAATCTCTTTATAAACACAGAGGACAAGGTATGGTATGTGGGTTGTAAGAGAGAGAGAGAGAGAGAGAGAGAGGGAGAGAGAGGAGAGAGAGAGAGATTGCTTTTAAGGAATGTAAACTCTTATGATTGAGACTGAAAGAGAATCAACTATCGTGAACTTGCCTAGAGAGAGAGAGAGAGAGAGAGAGTGTGTGTGTGTGTGTGTGTGTGTGTGTTCGGGACAAGTTCACGACGGATCACTTAACTCACTTGCCGGGTACCAGTCCTGGCCCGCACTAACTCTCTCTCTCTCTCTCTCTCTCTCTCTCTCTCTCTCTCTCTGCTAGCCCTATTGTGTATTGTAAAGCGCAGTGAGTACAGGGCCCATATAGAACAAGGGCCCATTAGAACAAGGACCCATTAGAACAAGGCCCCATTAGAACAAGGGCCCATTAGAACAAGGTCCCCATTAGAACAAGGACCCATTAGAACAAGGGCCCATTAGAACAAGGACCCATTTGGACAGGGGCCCAATGGGACAGGGGCCCAATAGAACAAGGACCCATTTGGACAGGGGCCCAATGGGACAGGGACCCATTAGGACAGGTGGCCCATTAGGACGGGGTCGAAACAAACCACCTGTAATATGTGTGTCTGTCTGTCTCTCAATTTATCTATATTCTCTATGTATGTATGTATGCATTTATGTATGTATGTATGTATGTATGTATGTATGTATGTATGTATGTATGTATGTATGTATGTATGTATGTATGTATGTATGTATGTATGTATGTATGTATGTATGTATGCATGTATGTATGTATGCATGTATGTATGTATGTATGTATGTATGTATGTATGTATGTATGTATGTATGTATGTATGTATGTATGTATGTATGTATGTATGTATGTATGTTTATTTACGTTTATTTACCGTAACTAACTACCTTTTTTACAACACAAGTTAGGGTGATAATACGTCTTTGTGTCGTTAAGTTAAAGGGACGAATTAGTTACGTTCTTACATCACTAGTTAAGGGGAAAGGGGAAGCCAGGTCCTACATCACTAGTTAAGGGGAAAGGGGAAGCCAGGTATTACATCACTAGTTAAGGGGGAAGGTAGGAGCCAGGTATTACATCACTAGTTAAGGGGAAGTAGGTACCAGGTATTACATCACTAGTTAAGGGGAAGGTAGGAGCCAGGTCTTACATCATTAGTTAAGGGACAAGGGGAAGCCAGGTCTTACATAACTAGTTAAGGGGAAGGGAGAAGCCAGGTCTTACATCAGTTAAGTGCAGTGAGGAGCCAGGTCTTACATCACTAGTTAAGGGACAAGGAGGGGAGGGGGGGAGCCAGTCACAGCCAAGCCTTGACGGCGCCGGAGACAAGATCAATATTCAAGGCGGCAGGGGGTGAACCCTTCTGCCTAACCTGGCTTGTTTAACTCAGGTGAGGTCAGGTAATTATCCCCTAATTATCATACACACTCAGGTAGATAGATGGATAGATAAATAGATAGATAAGGTAGGGAGGTAGATAGATATTACCTCATTATCATATACATAGATAGTGAGATATATATAGATAGATAAAAGAGCATAAGAGGAGGAAGGTGTTGACTGAGGTACAGGGAACACTGATTAAATGAGTGCAGGCAGCGGTGACTTGTGAGCTGAGTCAGTTGGTGTGTCCCTGAGTCAGTTGGTGTGTCCCTGAGTCAGTTGGTGTGTCCCGAGAGGTGTTGAGTCAGTTGGTGTGTCCCTGAGTCAGTTGGTGTGTCCCTGAGCTGTGGTGTCCGTCAGTGGTGTTGTGTGTTGGGTGGTTGGGGGTCAGTTGGTTCCGAGTCATGTGTCCCTGAGCGTGTGTTGTCCCTGAGTCAGTTGGTGTGTCCCTGAGTCAGTTGGTGTGTCCCTGAGTCAGTTGGTGTGTCCCTGAGTCAGTTAGTGTGTCCCTGAGTCAGTTGGTGTCCCTGAGTCAGTTGGTGTGTCCCTGAGTCAGTTGGTGTCCCTGAGTCAGTGGGTGTGTCCCTGAGTCAGTTGTGTGTCCCTGAGTCGCTGGTGTGTCCCTGAGTCAGTTGGTGTGTCCCTGAGTCAGTTAGTGTGTCCCTGAGTCAGTTGGTGTGTCCCTGAGTCAGTTGGTGTGTCCCTGAGTCAGTTGGTGTGTCCCTGAGTCAGTTAGTGCATGATTGCCCACACTGAGTGAGTCATTTAGATCTGTCTGTCTCTATAAGCTTATAATAAATAATATAAATGAATTAAAACAAATATTATTGAGAGTAGTGAATGGTGAGGATAGTAACTGGTGAGGATAGTAACTACTGGTGAGAGCAGTAACTGGTGAGGTTAGTAGTGAATGGTGAGGATAGTAACTGGTGAGGATAGTAGTGACTAGTGAGGATAGCAGTGAGTGATGAGGATAATAGTAACTGGTGAGGATAATTGTGACTGGTGAGGACAGTTACAAGTGATGCTAGTGAGAGGTGATTGGCAGGGTGGTCTGGGTCCCTCAGCTGCAACACGCAAGTAAAAAAACAAAAATTTTAAACATTCAGGTCAACACAAGAGTTAAACATCAGGTAAACATAAATAAAAACTACTACATCAGGTTAAACAGATACGTTAAAATAATGAGGTAAAAACTTATAAACAAACCACTACAGGAAACTACAGGGTTAAACATTTGAATCAACATTTGGGAATTATTTAAAACATTCAGGGTCTACGGGGGGTCAAACATTCAATTGAAGATTAAAGTTAGCCAAGTAGCACTAAACACAACTATTTCATATGTAGGCAAATAATAACTAGTAAATATTAAGATAAACATAGGAAACATACAAGTAAAACTGGAAGTTGTTGTTTATCTAAGAAATTCCTAGGAAGTTTCGTTCAATACTCTAAAGTTGTCCTATGATCTTGAGTGATATTATTTTATGTAGTTATTATTATATGAAGTATTTTATGATTATATGTGTGTGTGGAAATATTAATAATAATCTTTGACGTAAAATTCGAAAAAAAAGGAAAAAAATGTTGAAGGTTGTCTGTCATCATCAACAGCACCCGAGGCAAAATGGCCGATGTTCCAGAAAACTAGGACGAATACAACTTTCTGGAATATATATATTTTTTTTAATCAAACCAGATGACTCATTCGTACCTCAACTTAATCCACTTTAACGATCGTAATTTTTGGTCTCATTTACTGGTTACGTTTAGTTAATCTGTATCGTATAGGTAAATTAACTATGTAGCGGTTTTGATCGTGGTATTGTATAAACATTGGTTATATTATGTGTGGGTGTGAGAGGGCAGGAAACGTGGTGGTGCCGGTGGTTTGTGTGTGGGCGTGTGGGCGGTGAAGTGGTCGCTGCCGCCGTCTGGGTCATGGCGGTGCTACAGGAGGACATATTGAAGGTGTACGGGTAGAGGAATAGGAGAAGATAGTGGTACCCTTGCTGGCTTGGGAGAATAATAGCCTCGTGTTGTAACGAAATTGTGGAGAAATGTCATTCACCATCACTAAGGTTCGTACGATGAATAATCCTCATAAATAACGATTTTACAAGCATTCATATAACTATTGATGTTAAAATACAACATTAACATAACTTTGACACCCCAACAAACCTTTTAACCTTTCCTAAGTTCAGGTAATTAGATGTTAATGCTAGTTTGTCGCGTATACTACCACTACTACAGTATATATATATATATATATATATATATATATATATATATATATATATATATATATATATATATATATATATTCTCGCCAGGATTCGAACCCACGGCCACGGTCACGGTCGGCCGTGGGTTCGAATCCTGGCGGGTGAGGTGTTGATTATATGTGAAGTCCGCGTGCTTTATTGAGCTAATGAAATATATATATATATATATATATATATATATATATATATATATATATATATATATATATATAATATATATATGTTTGCTAGGTATTCACATTAGGGTGAGTACAGACTAGTCTGTACTCACCCTGAAGATGTGAATTACACGAGTGATGTTTTTTCCTGTGTTATCAGCATATACCTAGATCACGCACCTACAGTGATTTACTTGTATATATATATATATATATATATATATATATATATATATATATATATATATATATATATATATATATATATATATATAACCTACCAATGAGTCAGCTTTCTACACAGGCAGACACAACCAAACAACTAATATATATAAGACAAATCTAGTAAGTTTCAGCCCTTTAATCTTATAAACTTGGTTCTTCGCCAGTCCTAACATGATCCCTACTAATCGACGCCAACAGTTAACTCACTACTCGTGTATAAATATGTTAACGAGGTCACAGTAATTAGCAGCCAGTCGAGATGACATGTATAACAGTAATGCAGAAATAATTACAATAAATGACACGAATACATTTTGTTACGCACATGCCACTACGAACACTGCTGGTTTGCCTGTAGATAGATTGCTAGATAGATAAATAGGCAGATAGATAGATCGATAGATAGATATAAGAGCGAAAATACCCACATGTATCATAAACCCAAAACAGCACAGTATATAAAGTGAATCTTACCATCCACAGTGTTTCATAACGCACCGTAACCTGCCGCTCGGTAGTCGTAAACTGGTGCTTTGTTATTACGCTTCAGACAACGGGAATACATTGGTGGAACGACGGCATTTGATTGGCTGATTCTCTAAACAATCGTGGCTATAAACAAGAGGAGTTGTACTTCTATTTACTTGATCTCTCACTGGTCAGAGAATCAGCCAATGAGATACTGTCTTTCAGCTCATATATATCTGTTGTATGTATGCATGACAACGGGGCACCAGCAGACAGTAGTCTAGTCTCTCGGGCGGTTCACTTAGACGTAATCAATAAAACCTTGTCTCGTGAAATGTTTTAATGAAGAAAATCAATACGTGGACTAGAAACAGCTGTTGAAGATAAATACACTATATATTATTATTCATCCAGTTAATAATACAAAAGTTCCTCTATTTTTTTTTCGTTATGTTTGGATTTCGTAAACATTGTTCCTTACGACATAGCGCCATAGCTTTCAATAAAATGTATATCATTTTATGTAATTCAGACGATCAGCGCGTTGGTAATATAGATGAAGGACTAATATAATTGTCAGAGTGTTTAATTCTGTTGTCAATAATGCACGGGTGGTGTTGTGGGTGTGTCGAGCGGGAATTGTGTGTGTCAGTCAGTCAGTCAGTCATGCGTCACACAATGGGCGTTCATGACCGAGTTGGCTGATATGTATAATAATTTGTTTCCTCTGTTCACTAACCAATAACTGAAATATATAGATCACTGATGATAATAATTATTTATTTATTATATATGTAATGTTTGTTCACAAGTAAATATATATTAACTTATATAGAGGCTGGGGGGAGGAAGGACTAACATCCACACACACTCTTGTCATTTGTGAACAGTTAATGGATATATAAGTAATATATAAGTTATCAGCAATGATCTACATATTACAGTTGTTATTACACTTTATTACAGTCGTTGATCACTACTGTACACTGCGGGAACACATTAGGAAGTATGACGGGACAAGTCAACGGTGTGTAAACAATGGCTCCAGATCCTTCACGATAACTACGTAAATATTCCTCTTAAGTCAAGATACATAAATATACCTAACTGGCTGACTTAAGGCAAAACACCAGTGACGTACAGATATAGCATCCAATTGTACTTAGACTAAACCTTAATTAAATACATTGACTATTGACAAACTTAACATAATTAAACTGGTCGATCATGTTAAGGTAAAGTCTTCGTATAAAGTTAATGATGTAGCTGTATGTTATTGTTGTGTTTTATCCTAAGTCACCAGAAGGGTACATTCTTCTATCACCACTTACGAGGAATACTTGTCGTAAGAACCTTCGGGAATCTGGTTCACCTAGACAAACATATACCAGATTACACTCACAGTCATTTTAGTGCAGTAACGTAAGACACAGTCACTCGAGGACGGACAGTGTAGGTGTGTGTGTGTATTATGTAGAGTTAAGACACTGTTGTGGGCTTCTCTCAGTGCACCGTGACACAGCCTGACCACACACACACTGTAAGAACGAGTGTCGCCGGGAGAACTGAGTCGCCAGTCCACTGTAGCCTTGCACACGAGGGCGGGTCCTGGGGGGGTGGGGGTAACATCCAGACGAAAATTCCCTCTCCTTCCCTCCCTCCTCCTCCTCTCTGCATGGTGACGACACCTCTCCCCGTCTGGCATGGCGATCCCCCTTTCTCCTCCTCTGCATGGCGACTATTCCTATTCCTTCCCCCAGCGATTACCCCTTTTCCCTTTAACCCCTCCCTCCCCCTCTGCATAGCAACTTCCCCCTCCCTCCCCCTGCATAGCGACTTCCTCTGCATAGCGACTTCCCCTGCATAGCGACTTCTCTGCATAGTGACTTCTGCCCTCGTCTGCCTGGCCACGCCCTCCTCACCTTCACCATTGGTGTAAAATTAATTATTTCTTTCAGATATTTGGTCCGCTGACACCGAGTCGTCTTCTCCTGATGACTTTGGCGGTCGTGTCTCCTCCTTCCTTTCCTCTTCCTCCTCTTCCCCTTCTCTCCTTCTCCCTCTCCTTCTTTCTTCCCCCTCTTTCTCTTCCCTCCTCTCTTTCTCTTCCTCCTCTCCTCTTCCTCCTCTCCTTTCTTCCCTCCTCCTCCCCCTCCGCTTAGTCACCAATGGAAAGAGTTGAGACTTAGCCGGTTATCCATTGTAATACTTAACACACCCCGCCCACCTCGCCTCTGTCTGCCTGCCTCTGTCTGTCTGTCTGTCTGTCTCTGTCTGTCTGCCTCTCTGTCTAGATGTTAAGCTCATTATCATTTAAAGACAAAAACTTATAAGGATGACATGAAAATTAGGCACCCCAGCTTATTTTATCTGATGATTAAACTTGACCTGACCTGACCTGACCTGACCTGACCTGACCTGACTGCGACCAAGAGTATAGAACATTGGCGAACATTTACCACTAGTCTTTCGTTATTAAAGAAACCCAATAGAACAATTTTATTTATGTTATTTGAGTTAAAGAGTGAAATTAAACCAGATTATTTAGATTGACATACAGACACCGAGTCAACAATAACAAGAACAATGACAATAATGACCTGACATTCTTGTATGATGTGGTAAAGTGTTTGATAATGATTCCGGGCTGTTGAATCACCTCGACTTACGACACGGTTAACGAGGCTTAACTTGAATTGGTTGAGGTTAGGTTAGGTTAGGTAAGGTATAATTTAAGTTAAGGTTTGGGTGAGTTTATGTTAGATTGGGTTCGATTAGGGTAATTTAAGTTAGGTAAGGGGTGGATTAGGTTAGGTAAATGTGGGTTAGGTTAGGTATAATTTAAGTTAAGGTTTGGGTGAGTTTATGTTAGATTGGGTTCGATTAGGGTAATTTAAGTTAGGTAAGGGGTGGATTAGGTTAGGTAAATGTGGGTTAGGTTAGGTTAATTTAAGTTAAGGTTTGGGTGAGTTTGTTAGATTGGGTTCGATTAGGGTAATTTAAGTTAGGTTAGGGGTGGGTTAGGTTAATTTAAGTTAGGGGTGAGTTAGGTTAATTTAAGTTAGGAGTGAGTTAGGTTAATTTAAGTTAGGGGTGGGTTAGGTTAATTTAAGTTAGGGGTGGGTTACGTTAATTTAAGTTAGGAGTGAGTTAGGTTAATTTAGGTTAGGGGTGGGTTAGGTTAATTTAAGTTAGGAGTGGGTTAGGTTAATTTAAGTTAGGAGTGGGTTACGTTAATTTAAGTTAGGAGTGAGTTAGGTTAATTTAAGTTAGGAGTGGGTTAGGTTAATTTAAGTTAGGAGTAGGTTAGGTTAATTTAAGTTAGGAGTGAGTTAGGTTAATTTAAGTTAGGAGTAGGTTAGGTTAATTTAAGTTAGGAGTGAGTTAGGTTATGCTAGATCAGCTTTAAATTTCGTGACTAATCAAGGCTCAAGGTTGGCCCGCCCTCGACCACTACTGGTACATTGATTTAACGGCAGTAGGGCACAATCTCCCTCGTTGGCCATAATCAAGCCCAACCCAGCTCAATCTCCAACTCCAGCCTAACCTAACTCCAGCCTAATCCCAACCCAGCCTAACCTAACCCAGCCTAATCCCAACCCAGCCTAACCTAACCCAGCCTAACCTAACCCAGCCTAACCTAACCCAGCCTAACCCAACCCAGCCTAACCTATCTTAACTTACCCAAATCGAACCCAATCTAACTTAACCTCACCCAAACCTTAACTTAACCTAACCTAACCTAACCTGACCTGACCTTGTAGTTGAATGAGGGTGCGCCAAGACCGTAGACTTGCTAGCCTGATCTAGCCTAACTTAACTTAACCTAACCTAACCTAACCTAACCTAACCTAACCTGACGTGACTGGACATTCCACAAGACATATATGTAGAGTTGAGCTGTTGTCATATTTTTTTTATTTATTTCTCTAGCTCATTATTGTGGTGGTAAATTGTGGTAGGTGTTAATTGTGGTGGTGGTGAATTGTGGTAGTTGTGGTGAATGGTGGTAGTGGTAGTTGTGGTAATAGTAAATGTTGGTAGGTGGTGGTTGTGTTGAATTGTGGTAATTGTGGTGGTGGTAAATTGTGGTGGTAATTATGGTGGTGGTAGGTGGTAGTTATGTTGGTGGTGAATCGTGGTAGTTGTAGTGGGGGTAAATGGTGGTAGTGGTGGTAAATGATAGTAGTTATGGTGCTAATTGGTAGTTATGATAAATGTTAATGGTTGTGGTGATAGTTGGTAGGTGTGGTAAATGGTGGTGGTGGTGGTTGTTGGTAATTGTGGTGAATGGTAGTTCTGGTGGTTGTTGGTAATTATGGTAAATGGTAGTAGTGGTGGTTGTTGGTAATTATGGTAAATGGTAGTAGTGGTGGTTGTTGGTAATTATGGTAAATGGTAGTAGTGGTGGTTGTTGGTAATTATGGTAAATGGTAGTAGTGGTGGTTGTTGGTAATTGTGGTAAATGGTAGTAGTGGTGGTTGTTGGTAATTGTGGTGAATGGTGGTGGTAATAGTAGTACAATTGCAGGTAATCAACTATAGGGTTTCCTTGAATATATATTTTTTTTCCGTGAGACACCTCCCTCTACCCCCCATTGGAGAGAACACGCTAATGTATTGATGATCTGAGTGTGTGTGTGTGTGTGTGTGTGTGTGTGTGGTCTGAGTGTGTGTGTGTGTGTCTCTGAGTGTGTGTGTGTGTGTGTGTGTGTCTGTGTCTGAGTGTGTGTGTGTGTCTGTGTCTGAGTGTGTGTGTGTGTGTGTGTGTGTGTGTGTGTGTGTGTGTGTGTGTGTGTGTGTGTGTGTGTGTGTGTACCGTAACCCATTCGTGTGGCCATTAAATTTGTCCCTTGTTATATTAAAGGTTAAATTTAGCTAGGTTGGGTTAGGTTAGGTTAGACTAGACTAGGTTAAGTTAGGTTAGGTTAGACTAGACTAAGTTAGGTTAGGTTAGATCTTGGTTAAGTTAGGACTAGGATAAGTTAGGTTAGGTTAAGTTAAACTAGATTAGGTTAAGTTAGGGTTACGTTAGGATAAGTTAGGTTAGGTTAAGTTAGGGTTAGGTTAGGATAAGTTAGGTTAGGTTAAGTTAGGGTTAGGTTAGGTGTAATTGATTTATATAGTGTACATAACTACTTTAACACCCGAGTAAATAACTTAAATATTGTACCAGACGAAGAACACTGTACACTCAAGACGAAGCTAAAGTGTACACACCAGGGAGCCACAAAACCTGACCTTTCGTGTTGTGCATTTTTAAGTGTCCACCAAACTTGTACACTTTTTATGCTGTCAAGTGTACAGTTAGTTCTCAACCCCCAGTGTAGTGTACAGATAACCTAACATCTCTTGGTG